TTCGGCATTCACGACTTTAACGACCATTTGCTTCTCGGAACGAGTGTTCCACCACACCATATCCTGGGCTTTGAGTCTCATGATATACGACTTCTGCATGCGGCACGAGCACGTGCAAGTCTTGTACATTCTACAATCACGTCTTTTAGTGTTCTGGAGCTTGGAAGAATACGGAAGCTTTTCGGAGTCGGTCGTGCTGCCACCTCAGTAATCCTCTCGCTCGACATACGCCAACACACCCACCGTTAATACCGGACACATTTGGCAGTGCGACGGACGACGTAAGCGACACAACTCCAGTACTCTTTCCTGCTTGGGAAACAAGGGCGCGTCACGTTTGACGAAAATGCAGGCGTACACGACGGGATGTTCACGCAATGATGACATTGATTTGGCGGGCATGTCTAGAGTCGACATGTCGGCCTGTTGTTTTTTACTAGGTGGTGCGTTCGGGCTGAATAGCATACGGACAGCCGTCAAGCCACTTTGAGCGTTTTAGGAGACGGGATGGTTTAGTGTCTTATTTTCGTAGGACGAGCGGGCGACATGGACCTTATGATGTTAATGAGGGAATCAAAAGCTCTTTTTCCACTGAGACGATGCGTTCGCGTTTGACTGTGATGAAGTGTGATGTGCTGTGATGCGTTGTATGTATGCGGCTTTTTCATAAGTAGAGACTAAGGCTGGCTCTAGCGACGGGTGAGGTGGCAATGGACACCGCTTCACACACTAGGGACCCATGGAGGCTTTGGGCATTGACGACGGGTGGGCGTTGTCGAGAGATGAAGCGGCGAAAAGATTCAAAGGCATTGCGCGTCCAGGGGTACGAGATGGTCGTGTGTGCCACCTGGTGTGTGGTCGAGTTGGGTACAGGTGAAGGGATAGCAGCCTAATGCAGGGAGCGCGGTGACGTGCGTACGTAATCCGGGATCAAGTTGCGACCTGCCCCTCGAGGCGTCCGTCTTGGCAGTCGCCCCACGTCGTCATCGGGTAAGCAAAACAGAGGCTCAAAGTCGACGAACGCGCATCCAGAACGAGGCGGAGCCAGGCAGTCACGTTGCCGCCCAGTATATCCTTCCCGCTGTGCTAGACTTCTGTCCACCTGCACCGCCAACATGAACATCATCAAGCTACAAAAGTACGTGGGCGCGCTGCCCTTCTCGCGGCATCCGCTGGCTTCCACGGTAGCTAACAGGCCATTGCGCACAGGAAATACCCCCAGTTCGAGCAGGGCGAGATCTTTGGCCTGCAGGATGCCTTCCGCAAGCTCGACGTCGACGACAAGGGCTATCTCGACGAGGGCACCGTCATCAAGGCCGCCCAGCAGTCGGAGCACCAGCCCTACGACGTGGTGCGACAGGCCCTAAAAGAGGTGGAACTCGACAGCTCGCGGAGAGTAGAGCTCGATGACTATGTAGATGTACGCAATCCAGCATGCTGCGCGGCACGTGCAAGCTAACCGCAACAGCTCATCTCCAAACTGCGCGTCTCGTCGCCTGCCCAGCAGCGCATGTCGACCGGCCCAACCCGCCCGCGAGCCGGCACAGCTTCCAGCGTCAACTCGCCCTCGAACCCAGGTCACGCTTCGAAAGGCAGCGTCGGTGGTGGCAGGATCCAGGTCCAGGGCTCTTCGGCAAACGTCACCCACACCATCAACGAAGATGAGCGCACCGAGTTCACGCGCCATATCAACGCCGTCCTCGCCGGCGACCCAGATATCGGCGACCGCCTGCCCTTCCCAACCGACACGTTTGAGATGTTCGACGCCTGCAAGGACGGACTGGTCCTGTCCAAGCTCATCAACGACAGCGTGCCGGACACCATCGACGAACGTGTGCTGAACAAGCCGGGCAAGAAGATCAAGTCGCTCAACAACTTCCACTTCACCGAGAACAACAACATCGTCATTGAGTCGGCCAAGGGTATCGGGTGCTCCGTCGTCAACATTGGCAGTGGAGACATCATCGAAGTACGCGAGCACTTGATTCTGGGTCTGATCTGGCAGGTCATCCGGAGAGGTCTGCTCGGCAAGATTGACATCAAGTTACATCCTGAACTGTACAGGCTACTCGAGGACGACGAGACACTCGAGCAATTCCTGCGCCTTCCCCCGGAGCAGATCCTGCTGAGATGGTTCAACTACCACTTGAAGAACGCCAAGTGGCACAGGACGTATGTACAAGCTCCATCGTACTCGTTATATAGCTAACCTTCTCAGTGTCTCCAACTTCTCCACCGATGTCAAGGATGGCGAGAACTACACCGTCCTCCTCAGCCAGCTCGCCCCCGAAACCTGCTCTCGCGCGCCGCTCCAACAAACCGACCTTCTTCAGCGCGCTGAGATGGTCCTGCAGAACGCCGACGCCCTCGACTGCCGCAAGTTCCTCACGCCCACATCGCTCGTAGCTGGAAACCCGAAGCTCAACCTGGCTTTCGTCGCCAACTTGTTCAACACACATCCCTGCCTCGACCCCATTACCGAGGAGGAGAAGGCCGAGATTGACGACTTTGATGCGGCGGGAGAGCGCGAGGCCCGTGTCTTCACTCTGTGGCTCAACTCTCTCGACGTCAAGCCTGTCGTACAATCTTTCTACGAGGATCTCAAGGACGGCACAGTTATCCTACAAGCATACGACAAGGTCATTCCGGGCAGCGTTAACTGGCGACACGTAAACAAGCCGCGCGAAGGCCAGGAGCTCATGCGCTTCAAGGCTCTCGAGAACACCAACTACGCCGTCGAGCTCGGCAAGCAGGTCCAATTCTCGCTACCAGGTATCCAGGGTGCCGACATCACGGACGGCCAGCGCACACTCACCCTCGGTCTCGTATGGCAGCTGATGCGCAAGGACATTGTCTCGACCCTCAACGGCCTCGCCCAACAGCTCGGCAAGCGCGAAATCTCCGACGCAGACATGATCAAGTGGGCCAACGACATGGCACGCAAGGGCGGCAAGAGCACCCAGGTCCGCTCCTTCAAGGACTCTTCCCTCGCCAACGCCGTCTTCCTGCTCGACGTCCTCGCCGGCATGAAGCCCGCATACGTCGACTACGACCTCGTCGCCCAGGGCCGCAACGACGACGAATGCTACCAGAACGCCAAGCTGGCTATCAGTATTGCGCGAAAGATGGGTGCTACCATCTGGCTTGTGCCTGATGATATCGTTGCTGTCCAAAGCAGGCTTATCACTACTTTCATTGGTAGCTTGATGAGCACGCATGAGAAGATGGGTGGACAGTAAGCGCAATTGTATGGGATCGTCTTGACTGATTGTAAGCCTTTTGAGGCGGATGCGTAAACGATGGAACGAACGCCCTATGGGTGAAGCGTGCGAGCGTTTTTTTGTGTTTTTGAAAAATAAAGTTTATTGCTGAATGAGAAAACATCATCGTTGTTCACTGTCATCGTTCGTCGAGTTCAGCTTTTTGTTTGAAGTCATATATTCAATATCGATGCCATTTGGGTTGGACGTGCAGAATTAGACAGACATAAGCCGACGTTGTCGTAATTTTGTTCAGATCTGGAAAGCTTGGGAAGAAAGCCGAAGCACACACATAACGACTCCTGTTGCGAGTTTTGGAAGGTTCTGCTTGCAAATCTCATTATCGTTCTTCTCCATGATATCCTCCTGATTGGCTTTTTTTGTGGTATCAGGATCGCGATCTGCAACTCAGCATGACGCCGACAGCTTTGACTTTGATTCCTCTGTGAGTATTTGCAGAGACGGAGGGAACAGGAAGCGACATGACTGTCTTGCTGATCTTTTTTGGAGTTTTGTTTCGCAGCGTTCCAACGCACTTTTTCCATGCAACTTTGAACTCTACCTTTTGGAGCATACGATCTGATTCAATTTGGCGGAAAGATGGAGAAGGAGCACAGCGGCACAAAGGCATGCGACGTGTGCATGTGCGATATTGGAAGGCAGAGAAGACCCATCGCGCTCTTTTCCAGATTTTTGTGGTTGTTTCTGACTTGGGAATGGCGGAAGAGAGGAACATCAAGCGTTTGTTGAGATCTTTTGGGAGGAAGCAGACACATTTTGACGCTGAGTAGTGATTTTTGGTGCAGAGAGAGGTGGATGTGGAGAGTGTCCAGGTGTATTGAAGCAAAGACCATGATAGTTTGCCACTGCTCTTTTGAGAGGAAACACACACATCGGAATTGTGTAGATGTTGTTTGGTCCAGAAAGAGGTGGAGGTGAAGAGTGTGAAGGAGGTCCAAGGTCGAGAGAAGATAGCTTTTTATACACGACGACGAGCGGGAAGTGTCTGCGGCGAAGTGCTGGAGATACGACATGGTGTCGTGGCTTAGATGTTTTTGAAGTAGCTGCAATGCTTTGGCGGAAGCCGACATGGAACTTTTTCCTGGTGTTTTTGTTGTTGTGCACAGAGTTGAAGCAGATGCCATGAGTCCAGTCGAACGTATCTTTGGAAGATGCCTAGGTAGGCTGGATGTAATCAAGGGCCTGGACTTGGAGAAGGGAGGAAGTAGCCATGGCCGGGTTCGTACTTCTTTTTGTTGCGGGAGAGATGAGAGGACATGACTGATGTCCGAGTGTCTTTGAAGTTTTGCGGCATGTTTCTTGGTTGCAGAGAAATCTCGAACATCCTTTCGAAGCTCCGGGCTTTTGGTAGTATGCGGTCTTGTTTTGCTGGGACCGGAAGGCGGCAAACGGATCATCCAAGACTTGTTTTGGAGTTTTGAGAAAAGAAGGACATGAGGTATTGTGAGAAGACTTTTGGAAAGCCACGTATTGTGGTGGTAGATAGGAGAAAGAAGGAGGTAGAGAGTATTATCGAGCTTATATACTGCCTCCAAAACAGAAGACGAGATGACGGGGTGTCGGAGACTACAACGTGGCTTCGAGAACTTTCAATTTTGGAAGAAGATAATATTGTACACAAACATGATACGAAACTCACCTTCGCACTTGGTCATGCTTTATACAACTATGGCAACTACTTATTCACTCCCGTAGCTTTCCTTCTCCATAGGTCCTCGCTCACGTCCTCATCCCCCCACTCCTAACCCCCATACTAACCGCCTCCGTCCCACTACTCTTCTCCCACCCATCCGCCTTCCTCCTCCCCAACGCCCTCCTCAATATCCATTCCTTCGCCGTAACCTCTTCCTCGCCCTCCACATTCTCTCCCTCAACCAAACTCCTCAACAAAATATCATCCTCAGGCCGACAAAAATACACAAGACTATACCTCTCAACACTCCCCTGTTCCCCAGGCGGCGCAACAACACGATGTATATTACTCCTCAACGCGCCGTTTGAGAACTTGACGAGTGCGTCGCCGAGGTTGACGATGCAGTGGCCTGGTAAGGGACGGACATATGTCCAACCGTCTTCGCATAGTTTGTTTTCGATGGCTGTGGGTGGTGGGGATGTAGATGTTGGTGCGAGAGGGGATATGTGGGATGGCAGTCTGACTTGCAGACCACCCAGGCGGTTGAACAGAACAGTCACGCTTCCGAAATCTGTGTGCTCGCCCAGTGCGACGCCTTTGAGTGATTGTTCTTGTGGTGGTGCCTTGACGAAGCGGATTTGGTCGCCTGATGAAGCGTGAAGGCGGTGGATTGCGGGGAGTCCGCCTGCTTCGCGCGTTTCTGTTGCTAGAGGGAGACGAGAGGAAATCAGGGATGCAATAAGCATGCAGATTGCGTGGGAAGAGGTGATGTAGGATTTGTATAGGTCGCGGTGTGGGTTTAGGACCGCTGGGGAGGGAAGAGGGTCGCTGAGGCTGAAGATATCGTCTTTGGAGATCTGGAAGTCGTGGGTTAGTAGTTGAAGTAGTAATGTTTGAGTTGAAAAGGAAGGAGGAGCATGTACATTATAGAATTCGTTCCGGTCTTTCGTTCCTTGCTTATCGACGTAGCCTTCGCCGTAGCCTTTGTAGCCAAAGTAACTGCCTTGGTCTTTCAAATCGTATTTGATCTTCTCCGAGACATCTAGATCGTAGAACTCGCGCATTACTTGGAATAGTTTGTCCACATCTTGGAGTAACGCGTCGCCGTCGACGGCAGTATCATTATTGCCACTATCCAACTGCTTGGAGTTGCGGACATCCAAGTAGAAGAAACCCAATTCGCGACATGCCTGCCAGCACCTGTTTTGTTCTTCTTCGTCGCGGTGAAGTAACTTTTGGAGCGAGATGCGGAGAAGAGGGGCGGTGGGTACGTTGTCGGGGAAGACTGGGAGATCGGGAAAGGAATCGCGTGGTGGGGATGGAGAGTGGTCTGAGTGAGGCATGGCGAGTAGATGTCAGATGTTTCATGTGGTGAACTACATCGCGGAGGAACGCAAGATACGTGCGTTGTTCGCATGCAGTGGGCCGGGTATAACTCATGGCGTTAAGATTGAGAAGTGGAGGAGCGCGTGGAGAACGCGGGGTAGCCTCGGATAGCTAGGGCGATAGACGACGTCAAGGCATGACGATGGGGACGAGAAGGAACGATCACAACAACATGAGGCAGACATCACGATGCATCAGACAAGGTTAAAGGAGACGCAATTCATTAACTATCCACAGATGTAGCTCCGATATTTCCACCACCCGAACAAGCAGACATGAACACCGACCCAAACACCGAGAGCGATAGACACGGATCGATGCCTGAGAGCGCCATGCTACCCGTCAAGTGACGATGCAAAAGTTATGAACACAAGTATAAGATGAGGGGCCATGAGCAAGCAAACGCCTAAGGGATGATTGAAGATCGAACGTTTGAATGAGACCTGAGTAGTGTTAGATGATGCGCGACAATAAGCATTGAAGGTGATGATGCTTACCATTGACGAGATGTTTCTACAACCTGGATCCGTGGACAACCTTGTAGTCGACAGCCATCTCCATACCATCGTCATCGATGACGAGGATACGGACGCTGCCACGGCCGTTGTCGAAGGACTCGGTCAGGCGGGAGATGAGACCGCTCTGGTCAAGGACGGGAAGACCCTGCTTGACATCGCCAGACTCGGTCATGGCAACAACGCGACCGTCCTCACGGATGTCAAGAACACGGTACTGCTTGAAGACAGGTCCGAGCATGTTCTGGACAACGACGGAAGGAGCCGGGTTGGAGATGAAGGAGGACTCCTCATGGAGCTGCTTGGTGAACAGGTCAACACCGAGGTAACGGTGCTGGCCAGTCTGGGAGGAGGTGGTGATGCGGATGACCTGGCAAGGGCGGCCCTGGAGGATCAGGAGGTCGCCAATGCGGATGTGGTGGCAGGGGATGGTGATAGTCTTGGTGGAAGCCATCTTGCGGACTGTACGGACAGAAGTCGGGACAGGTGCGATAGAAGCGGAGACGGGTGCGGGTGCGTGGGTGATTGAGTGGGAGTGGGCAGGTGCAGCAGCAGAGACTGTGGACCTGGGAGGGGCTGGGGCTGGGGAGCTGTGGACGCGAACGACCCTTTCAACTGGAGCTCCGGATTGGACGGGACGGGCAGGGGCAACAGAAGGAGTAGCTGAAGTGTACTTCTCCTTAACGATTACCTCTTCACGGTCGTCGTCGTACTTGGCACCGGGGTAGGAGTGCTCGTGAGAGTGGTGGTGACGGTGAGGGTGGATGGGGTGTTGGATACGGTCGGCGACCTTGTGAGCGGCGTGGGAGATTCCTTGACGAAGCGAGTGGTATTGGCCCTCGTTGTCGTAATATCCCATATCACGCTTGCGGTGCTTGGGGGGTGCGGCAGTGGAACGAGCAGATGATTCTACTCGGACCTCAGATGGCTGGTGGGAGGCAACAGACTCGACGTGCTTGCTGCTGGGGAAGGTGTCGTGCTTGGTGGTGTAAGTCTCCTTCGAGTAGCTTGCACCGGCGACGATGGGACGGGTACGTTCGCGAATCTGACGTTCAGTAACGTCGATTTGGGATGGAGCGTAGTCGGTGGCAGGGCCGTGGACTGTATTGAAGTGTCTATCGTAGGTCCTGTCCTGAACCTCGACGTGGGAGTGGGATGATGTAGGAGGTTGGGGGTGAGGTTGGTAGCTGAAGGAAGAAAGGAAGGTCAGCTTTGGGTTGGGCAAGGAAGAGCTTAGAGGAGGTGAGGGAAAAGTGGGCCTGCATGTCGCTAGGACAACAACAGATGAAAGGGGTTAGCGGCTAGCGCGTGGCTGGGTGCCGCTAAAGTCAGGGGGTTGGTCTGTTGTGCTGATCCGTGCGAAGATGCGCTGGCAAAACAATGGATCGGACTTACCGGTCGTGGGATCGCTCAAACTCTACGCGGTCAGTACGCTGAACGTGCTGAGAATGAGGCTGGGGCTGGGGCTGTCCGGGCTGTCTGTAGCGAGTCTGCTCGTGGATATGTAGCTCCTCACGGTGCTGGGGAGGCTGCTGAGCGTGAAACTGCTGGGGCTGGGGAGCCTGCTGAAACTGCTGCTGCTGCTGGGGAGGCTGGGGACGACGGAGGCGCTCTTCTTCGTAGATGCGGACCTCCTCCTTGACGTGTGTGTCGTGGTGCTGCTCCTGCTGCTGTTGGGGAGCCGGAGGAGGAGGGAGGACGGTAGCGGAGAAGGATTCGTGGACCTCTTCGTGACCTTCCCGTCCGTGAGAAGCCTGTTGCTCGAACTGTGCTTCCTGTTCTTCTACCTTGACGCTGGTAGATTCCTTAACTTCCGCGTTCCGATACGCAGACGGGAAGACACTGAAGGGGATCGGAACCTGCGCGGATTAGCATAATTGCTTATACACTCGCGGTGAGAGAGCATACTCGTGCTTCAAAATCCAGTTTGCCGGAGTCTGGTCGTTCGTTCCTGAAAACCCTTCGAACCGTTCGAAAACAATTCGAAAGGAATCAAGAAGAACTTCTTGGCTCCTTTGAGGGTCTCACGTGGAGATATTTGGAGATATAGGATCTACTGAAGAGTCGCCAGCTTTATGGTGTTGACGTGCAGCAGCTTGAAGATGCGCAATTGGATGCAGTAGCGGGGTGTAGGTGGAGGAGTGATGGAGTCAGGCTGGCCGAGGAGGGGGATCAAGTAGATTGGCGGTCAGTCGGATCACTGTTGTGTCGGCGTATCGATGGTCGCAGGGTTGTGGAGGCTGGGAAGCTTTGGCAGAGCTGTTCGAGCTGGGCCTAGCGTTATTGACACGGTGCACTAGCGCGTATCAGCTTCCCCTTTTTCCCAGCCATGGACCGATTCAACCCCAGAGAACCCATCACATCCTGGCGCTTCTCGCACCGAGGTAATTTCGGACGCGCAACTGATCTTAGCACGGCTGTTGACCGGGCAATGGCCAGCAATTGGTGTCGCAATCCAGAGTCGAGTCGCATTGGAGCTCCACAGAGCTGCCGGGAGCTTCCCCGACCTGGCTGCAGCTCCACGACCATGGCCATTGGCAGTGGGCCGATCCCAATGTTGCGTGGTATGCTTCAATTGGGGCCGGACGGCCTGCTCATGCATGATGCGCCAGCTCCTCCGCGAAGAGAGGCATTTTCAGCTCAGCCTATCCATGTCGCGCGCGGCCAGCTGTTGATAGCTCCAAGCCTCTCCCCAGCCACCGCGTTTTCGTCGCGTCATAATTGGTCAGAGCTCCATATTGCTGCAGCCCGAAAAGCATGGCTGCAGCTGCGTGGCCCGACGATCACGGATCCGCCGGACTATCACGTGCGAGACGGTTCATCGATCGCGGTCCAGGTGCTGCAAATTGACGCGGACTGGGTGAGCTGTCCGGTCGCTTGTGGACTCGACGCATGTGAACCGTGGTTCTCAACGGCTGTCCGCATCATCGTCCCCACGACGTGCGCCCGCGTCTGACATGCAGCACCTGCCGCAGCGACGGTTTCGTGATTGTGGAGAGTTTAGTGATTGGATTGGTGTGCTACAAGGACTGTGAGGTCTGTCAATGTCACGTAGCTGTTGTACGGTGTTCGCACTGAGATTGTCAGCAGCCTATACCCAGGAGCGAATGGTCGCTATAGTTCGGACAGTCTGCTATGCATGCCTCCAAATAGCTCCTGCAAGATCTGACTCTTTTTTCTGCAATGCGCTTTTCTCTATACTTTTCCCTGTGTATACGTTGTCATACATAGCAACACTAACAACTTGTAACAAGGATATAGAACCGACGTCGGTTTGGCTTCGGGAAGTCGATGACCCGACGAAGCATTTCCGATGATTTTTGCGATGGCGGATGAATTTTCCGATCGCAATGACGATGGAACTTGCGACCTGCTTCGATGGAGGAGTTGAATGATTAGGCGAAAATCGACGTTGGCTGGCTGCGACTTCCAGTTCAGTAGCTCTTCGCGCTGTTGTGTTGCATCTTGGCTGCCAGTATAGGTAGGAGCGACTACACGTCCTCGTATCTGCTCTCTATACCCTTCTCGGTCTTGCTATATCGTTCATTACATGATCAGTCTCATGCATGGATCATACTCGTGGACGCCTGTAAACTTCCCATTCCATCGCGCATTATGTCATGTCTTCATGAAGCTCTATCCTGTCGCCCTTTCCCCCTTCTAGATCGGCTAGCATCTGAAGCGGCTAGCGAGTTTGTGTTGTACTCGGCACATGGCAATGCTCACCAGACTGAATGTTGCCATTGCTGTTACCATGAATTTCCCGCTTCAATGCAATACTTCGTCTTCTTCATGTCGGGTTACCTATGAAGACGACTGTATTGAGAGCCACACAGTACAGGATGTACTACAGCTTCTAGTCAACCAACGCCTACTTCTATCGTTAGGCTCTTGTACTTTCCGTCGTGCCGTTGCATTGTTTATCGAAGAGCGAGAGAACAGAATACATTCGCTGTCAGAGTTATTGTTAGAAAGAGCTCTCAACCATCGTCCCTCTTTCCAGTTCAGACAGTCTGCAAGAACAAACACCACATCAAGGCAGCTACGATGGATGCCACAGGCCAGATTGGGAGACATCTATCTCTATGATATGCTTCCATCTTCTCCATGACAACACGTATTGCTTACCTTGATAGCATTCATCACCCCATTGTCTATTAGTTTTCTATTCGACCATTCATAAGCTGTTGAGTACGTCCCAGCTCCAGCATGCGTTTCCCATTCACGGCGCTCCTTGCGTCGATGATACTCGCAATATCAGCACAAGCCCGATTTGTCATATACGCAGACGAATGGCACCCAACGCGTCCAAACAACCAACGAGATCGAGCTGGCATCGACCATGTCATCCTCGCCTTTGCCCCAGCCAACGCAACAGCTACGTTCCAGCCGAAAGTCCCCGTACACACCATCCGCACTGAGTTCCCCAACGCAAAGGTAATGATCGCTGTTGGCGGCTGGGGTGATACGGCTGGTTTCTGTCAAGCCACGAAGTCAGACGCATCGATGTTCGCGTTTGCCGCCGATATTGCCACTATGCTTGCCAGGACTGGAGCGGATGGAGTCGGTGAGTACAACATCTACGAACATTGGTTAGTTGTGAATACTGACAAGGAAGACATCGATTGGGAGTATCCCGGCGGCAATGGTGCGGACTACAAACAAGTGACGAACTGGGATCAGACTTACCAGATCGCCGCGTTTCCCAAGTTGCTCGCAACTGTTCGTGCAGCTATCGGGAAGAAGCTGCTTTCGATTGCCGTGCCAGGAAAAGAAAGTTAGTCATTCTCCATGTCTCTAAGGTGAGGGTCAACTGACGTGTAGTAGTCGATATGCTTGGGTACACTCGAACAACCGGACCTCAGATCTGGCCATCCGTCGACTTCATCAACGTACGTGACCATTCCTAACCTCAGCCGAACCATCAGAAGCCATACTAACTTCCCCAGGTGATGAGCTACGACCTAATGAACCGTCGAGACACAGTAACCAAACACCACAGCTCCGTCGCCGACGCCGAAAACAGCATAAAAGACTACCTCGCCATGGGTGCACCTCCCTCCAAGCTCAATCTCGGGTTCGCATACTACGCCAAATACTTCACCACGCAAGGCGACTGCAGTGCCAGCCCACTCAACTGCCCCATCGTCCTCGCGGAAGATGCACAGGGCAAAGACACACTCACCTCTGGCGCCTGGACCTTTGAGAGATCTCGCATGCGCCCCGTTGATGCCTCCTCTCTGACCGTATCCCAAGACGGCACCTGCGGTCCAGAGAATGGACTCAAGTGTGAGATAGGCTGTTGTTCCCAACACGGCCACTGCGGTACTTCGCCTGAACACTGCAACGGCGCCTGCCAACACGCGTTTGGATCTGGATGCACGGACGCCGATGTAGCAGCTTCATGGCAGCTCGCAGCCAAAGACGGTATTACTGACGAAGTAGCCGGCGGACAATACTACTTCGATGCCACAAACCGCCTTTTCTGGACTTGGGACACACCGGAACTCATCACGAGGAAATTCGACAACATCGTCCGCAAGTACAAGCTCGGAGGCGTCATGGCGTGGAGTCTAGGTGAAGACAGCGCAGACTGGAGTCATATTCGACACATGGCGAAGGAGGTTGCCAAAGGAGGACTCGGTTTGACGACTGCCAGCGACTCCAACGAGCCAGTCGATCGCGACATGTACGCAGAGCTCACTCATTACTGCTGTCAAAACATTTCCCATCCAGCGAATACCGTGATCTACCCACCAGCATTCATAGTTCCAATCTCTTGGCATACTATTAAGGTAGATTGCGGGGATGGAAAAGGGTTGGTTTACTGTCCGGCACTTCATCCGGACCACTACGATGGCAATGACTCGGTTCAGCCCATATTGAACGACGATGGCCTTGTCGAGATGCAATACACCTCAGACGCCCTCCAAGCGACGCCAACTAAGCTCGAACCAACCGCACACAAGACTCCGGAGCCTCATTACCGTGTCTTTTTGGAATGCATGGGCGATGATGGCTGGCTGATAAGCTGTCCGGAATGGGTCACCTCGAGTGTTCTTCATGGAACCGCAACCGAGCCCACACCCGCCTTACTCGAGACCCCGTCGCCGACTGACGGTGTCTTTATAGAATGCCTGGGTGAGCATGGCGGCCTAACTCGCTGTCCGCAATACTACACAGACGCCGTCGTATCCAAACATTCTCAACTCCACATACCTGCACTCCAGACTCCGTGGCCAACACCCTTGCCGACTGACGGTACTTTTCTCGAATGCAAGGGCGAGGACGGTTGGTTGACTTCGTGTGGGGTATCGGCCACGCAGGACTTTCTATCGCAGATGAGAGACTACAATGCACTGCATACTCCCACGCCGATTCCCTCGCCGACTAGAAGTGTTCATTTCGAATGCCTGGGTGAGCATGGTGGCTTCACTCGCTGTTCGCGTTCCGTCACGGACAACTTCCTATCCAGTCATTTTTCACTCGAAGCAGCCGGACTCGAGACCCCGTGGCCAATGCATCAGAACCCTAGTGCTGTTACGACTGCGGTTGCTACCGAGACTGGATTTACTGCGCATATCGGTATACCTCAGGCGCATGAGAGTGGGCTTCCTGGTGGATCTTACGGTATGCGTAGGCGTGAGAGGGTACACAAGGCGTGAGAAAAGTGTTTTGCAGAAGTCTTTCTGGATGCACAGCGATGTTTCGTTCCGTTTTTCATTGTTGTTTGAGTTTGCAAGACGGAATGCTTTGGGCAGTCGACGTCGCGTTGTTTCTCCGTTTGTAAAGTAGCGTGCGATTAATGAATTACTACTCTTTGCTCTCACGACACAAATATCGTGGGGGTCCTATACTAATACAATCATCCCATGTGCCACTTCATCCAAGCTTGACCCAAGATTTGTGCCCACCCTGACCCCATTTCAATCCATTAGAGGGAGCCTATGCCTTGACGGTACTCCTCTTCATGCCCTTCCTCGCGTTCTTTTCCCTCTCCTTCTCGAGGAACTTGCGCTGCTCATCGGCGCTGAGACGGCCCAACTTGGCGTCTCTCATCTCCTTCTTCGCCTTGTCAAGCGAGAGCTTCCTCTCCTCGGCCTTCTCTTCGTCGTCAGCCTTCTTGATCTTGGCGATTTGCTCGTCGCGGGTCTGCTTGATGCGGCGGAGGGCTTCAGGGCGGAAGTGTCCATGAGAGGCAAGCTGGTCGGTAAGACGGAGGAAGTACTGGAAGATGGGCATGGTGGTGGAGTAGTCCGAGGCGAATTTCAGGGAGAGGCTGAGGCGCTTCTTAGGCTTGGTCTCGTCGAGGCTAGGAGACGTTAGCTTAAACCATGTAATAGAGGGATTAAATGCTGGATGACTTACGTCCTGGGCGCGTTAATGGGCTGGTCGCTGACGATGATGGCCTCGAAGCTGTCTCCGGCGTCGTTGACAGCCTTGATGAGCTCGGGTGTGAGCAGCATGTCCGTAACCTCAGCGCTCTCGCTCATGACAGTGACCCAGACAGGCAACTTGGCGTGGTCGCGCGTGCTAGTCAGAGACAAGTCGTAGCGCTCATCGCGCATGCGCTTCATGATATCCTTGTGTACAATTGCGAAGACGAAGCCATCGAAAGAGCTGTTGGTGACCTTCTTCGCGTCGGCTTGGCCATACGAAGGAGCGAACTTGGTCTCCCGGCCATCGAAAACGTAGGCGGTAGCCTCAAGACGCTCGCTAGGTGCAGGGAAACTTTCAAAGAACAGGGGAAGCACGCTCTCTCCCAGCCACATGAAGGGGTTGGCGCGCTTGTAGAAGCTCAACTTGAAGTCGACGAAAGCAACGTTCTGGCGTCCAGTCGCGTATGTCTGGTACTCGTCGGCCTTCTTCTCCTTGAGCATGCTGTCCACATCGGCAACCGCTCCCTCTCCGTCTGGGCGCGTGTAGCCGACTTGGGCGAACTCTTGGGTCAGGACAGGGGCGTGAGCCTTCATCCATGCCTTGGCCTTGCTGCGGTTGCGCTTGGTACCCCAGAGGTGAACCGCGATGAGAGCAACGAGGAATGGCAGGATGTACATCTCCAGCTTGAAGTCGTCCATGGTGGTGCGCTCCCACACCCGGTACCATGCTGTATAGGGCCGGTTGTCGCCGAGGCTTGTAGGAGCGGCTTGCGCTGCACCGGTACCGGTCGTGAAGGACGAGATGGCAGCGGGCGTGGGCTCAGGAGCGCCTGCATAGTCGGCGAAGTCTGGTTGGTGTTAGCGCAGCCATTGGTCATGTATGTTGATAGTCTCTGCAACATCCGATGCTATCCTCAAGATATCCTCGCGACTCCATCTCCTGTCAAGAATTCGAGTATCGCAAAGGGGTCTCGTGTGGTCCCGCATCCCAGGCTGGTGGCCTCGCGGTCGCGCATGCAATGTAGTTTACGTACCATCATCACCAACAACTGGAGCCTGGACAGGCTTTTGGCCACCGAAGAGACCCTTGACGAAGTCTGCCATTGAGTCGATGCGTCACAACGAAGGAGCGTACGTGGAGATTTGGCGGCGCGGGAGGTGGTTTGGAGGATCTCGGCTCGGTTCCACGTTCCAGGCACTGACCTCATTTTACAGCGACTAGCACGCATGTGGAGGGGCATCTGGGCAAGCTACCCCAGAGCTCCTCGTGGCCCTGCGCTCGAACGTGCTATAGCTTATTGTAGAATTTCAGTAGAGAATACTGATATTAGATACTTGGTGACAATGGCTTGCCAAGCTGCTCATATGAACTAGTTTTCTCCACACTCAATCGCGATAGGCATTGTCACTCTCTTATAACCATTGGAGCTCGATGTAAAGCTCATTACAAACCAAGTAATAGTAAAGTTCAATATCTCACACGAATTCGCAAGGCCTGACCGAGACGTCTCTTCAATGTCCTCATGATGTCAACCTGGTCATTGCCGCAAGTGGCGGTCATCTGTGTTCTGTTTCCCAGGTCATACCTGGGTGGCAGCATCATCGCAGAAAAAATGAACGCAGCGTGAAGTGACAATGAAGATTGTTCTATACGGTCTGACAAAAGAGATGTTGCAATGGGTAAAGGTTTGTCGATTGATTGTATATTGACGCAGAAGACTCATACTGGTCCCACCCATCCGGATATCATGCTCGAAGTGTGGATTCTAGTTCTTGCCGAACCAGGTCTTGTGTCCCTGATCATGGTTAGTCTTGAATTGGTAGTCGAAGATGGGGCAAGCTTACAAGGACGAGACGGCCCATCATGTACATGCTGGCGCCGAGGCTGCTGAACATGATGACCTTGAAGCCGGGAACCATGTACTTTCCGCGGGCCTAATAAGCAATCTGTCAGCATTTATCCCTATGTTTTCTCTCTTCCAGACGCCATATGTCCAGCACCGCATGCCATCGTCTCTAACCACGTCATGCCCCCATCAACCCTCCTCTTGTATATTCAGTACGCACCTTCTCCCAGGTCCTCAGTCCGTCGTGCTTCTGGAACTCGCGTTGCCAGTAAGGCACCTTGTTCTCGCGCATAACCCAGCTGCCGACTGTCAGTATCCAGCTCTGTGCGGAATGGCGGAGAAGCGCTGGAGGCTGTCGCGGTGCTCCCTCAGGCCCGCGGCCAGGCCCAAAGCTCGAAGTTCGACGTACCCAGGCATTTTGAAGAGTGTAGAAGAGTATTGCGCGGCTTGCGGGGGCAATTGGTGGTTTCGTGGATTGGTCGATTTGGTGATGTCGCGAGGTCGAATGATCCGCCGGCGAAAGCAAGTCGGCCGCCAAGGCCCTTGCCCGCTTTGGGCGCAACAACTTTCCGCATCTCCAGTTCACGCACGACGATTGCGACGCCAATGGACTGACTTCGCCCTTCGCCCCTGTCTTGTTGATGCCACCGGCTCTGGACAGGCTCCTCGCCAGCCCGTCTGCCCTGCGACTCCTGCGTTCCATCGTCAATGCCCCCGAACTCCCCGCAGCCTGTTCCGCGGCGACAAAATGCTGCCTGCCAACAGCACGCCGCCGCAACTACTCGACCCAGCCAAAACCTCCACCCAAGCTGAAATGGAGGCGAATGAAGGATGCAAGCGAAGATGCGGCAGTCCGAGACCACGTGCTCAAGGCACTCCAGCGTGACGAGTCCAACGATACCCTCGCACCGACCGTAGACATCCTCGAAAACGACGTCGTACGTGTGGCCCAAAGAGAAGACGACCCTGCACAACTCGCCGCCATCCTTGCAAGCGAAGAGAGGCTACACGGGAAAAAGGGTGTCCGCAATGTCTGGCAGAATTTCCGCCATCGAGGGTACCGCCTGCCCACTGAAGACACTCCCGATGCCGCATTCCTATGGGGAACTTTTGTGAAGAATCACCTGATCACAGACAAGGCCATAGAGCACGCCGAGGAGCTGCTTCACGAAACAGGTAAAACATACCCTGGTCTGTACTATCTGGTCATGAGCCACTGGCTTCCGAGGAGAACAGCGCCCGCGTTGAGATATCACTACGCGATACAAAAGAGCCTGAAGCCTCAGCGGCTTCCCCTACGGCAGCTGGCACATCACGGGCGATCGGCCTACAAGCATGGCGCATACGAAGCATTGATGGAAATATACGAGCACAGCAATGAGCGGGACCTCTACGACGAGGTGGTGCCAGCGCTCATTGAGAAGGATAACATAACTGCGGCACGCCGATGGCATGCACTTTGTACCCTTCGCAATGATATGCCGTCAGAGTCTGTCGCGTCTCATCCTCTCGTCCAGCTGTTCACCGTTGAGGATTCAGCTCGTGAGGTCTACTTTGACACGAAAGGGTCGACGAAGAAGTGGAGGCGCGATGCAGCAAAATACAATGAAAATCTTCTGCGCCGCTTGGATGGCCCCAATACCGCGCCCGTCCGATTCGAAGACTCGTTTGTCGCCCGCATGTTCGCAACGCGTACCTTTCCACCAGCTTCCATCATACAAGGTCTCTCTATGGTGGGCATCAACGAGATTGGGCCTCAAGCTGTGCTCACCATGGCCTTGCAAACACAACCGGTAGAGGAGCTACCTATGAGGTTCGAAGAGCTCAGACAAGCAGGCATTGCCCTGCAGGGCTGCGTCTTCTCTTTGGCACTGGAGACGTTCGCAATGGAGCAGAAGTGGCAACTGGTGCGCAGTATGCTGCAAAGCGACCAGCACCCGGATGTCTTTGGCGACGCAGAAATGCAACGCAAGCTGCTCGAGCACTATCTTGACAACGACGATTATGCGCAGGTCCAGCGCACACTTGCCATTCTGACGCTCTTCCACAATGACTCTAGTCAAGAGTCTTGGAACCTGCTCTTGCAAGTCTACATTAAACGCTCTGGACAGAAGCATGTCGTGGAAGTGCTCCAAGACATGCGTGCTCGCGGGATCATGGTGTCGCCTGAATCGATCATGGCCATTCGCAGCCTATTGCGTCGTCGGCAACGAGGACACAAACCTGTCAGTGACCGATTCGATGACTTGCGTTTCGTCGCGCGTGTATTCGTCATGATCCTAGAGAACGGTCTAGCCCCCATCTCCCCACTACAATGGCGCGAGATCATACGTAGATTTGGCATGGTTGGGAGGTTTAGGGAGCTTAGAAGACTTTTACTCTGGCTTCTTTGCTGGTATGCCCCGAGGAGCAGTTACCAGTTCAGCACATTGCCAAAATCACCATTTCTCGAACCGGCAACAGCGAAACTGCGTGCTGCATACCCCGAACGATTCCACTACTTCCACTTTCCAACAACGGTCACACAGCGCGAGAATCAGTTGCATCCCGTTCGGCAACTGTTTGCCCCCTCCCTTCAGCAAAGTCTCATCATCTGGGGCTTCAAAGCTGGACTCCTGCCAAACGCACCTCTCGAACAGTCCATGCTGGGCCCCACGCTAGCCAAGAAGCATTATCGTCGTCGGTTGCTGCAGCGCCGGATATTACGCCGATTAGAGTGGAGCGCAGGTCTACGAATTCTTGTGCATCTACGAAATCTCGGCGTCTTTGTTCACTACCATACCGTACTCAAGGCCTTGCAGTCGCAGTTTATCAACATGTTCGGTCGTGGTCGCTCCCGAAAGAGAGAAAACAGAGTGATGGAGTCAACCAACACGCTCCCGTATGCGCGATATGTTCACGAAGTCAATAAGATATGGGGCAGTCCGCTACTGCGGGAGCCTCAACTCTTCGGCAAGGGCATGGTACACGACCACATGTGGCACCCACGTATGAGACGGAACATCAAGCGCAGAGCTTCTATCAGCCTTGGTGAGATCCTGGGCCCCAACTGGAGGGACCGCGACAAGGAGAGCCACACGGCTGTCGAAAAAGACGAGAATGCGGCGATAGCTCAGCTGCAGAAACACTTCAGAAAGCAGGCCAAAGTTATCGATCCCAGTTCTGAGCCGCAGCTCCCTTCTACCATAGCCGTCCCACGCGTCCAAATTGATAACGGTAAGAAGTGATGAAGCGGCCCGTACGCCGGCGACTAAGATAACCGACTGTATGCCTGGCCCTGCCATGATACGTAAAGAATATACAACACAAGTTTCTTCACTTACTCTGATCCCGGATGTGGACCAATACTTTCAATAATCCGTCAACTTTGCTTGAAGTTCTCTTCTCCTAATTGGGATTTGGACACACCGACTGCTGCTACCCTTGAAGCTGTGAAGATCCAGACTTCCGTCAAGACGGGACCGGCGGAGGTGTGAGCGCGTAGAGCTGTCCACGGGCGTTTAGGTGAAAACGGGAGGCGCGCTAGTGTACGCCTCATGAAGACTTCAGGGCCTCATTTCAACAGTTTTACACCTCCAATTGTAACATGCGATTGTTTGCGCGCACTACTGGCTGGGTCAATACCCATGCATTACTCACCGCTACTCGGAAGGCCACAATGTGGCTTTATATGACCCCGCCTTTCTCAGCCCTCGGAATCAGATGCAGTGGCCAACCATCGCTGATGCCCCATCCGCTAGTATGATCAGCACCCTGTTGAACAAACACCACTCAGTTCAAATAATTCCAAAGCTTAAGGCTAGAATGAGGTTCACGCCCGTCGTATCACCAGGTGGTCCTTCTGCAAGTGTATCGGTTGACTCTACTTCCACGCATGGCCCCGTTCATTTAGGCCAGAGCTGAAGGGCCTGCAATACAACATTGATAGCCTGCAACTAGGGTTGAACATCAGCCAAACGGCTGACGATGGCTTATCCCAAGCTCTGTTATTCGCTCAGCTTCTACATGCTGAGTGACGTGCGCAGCTGTTTTACATCTATTCGGGCTCACCGGAACAGGGCACTGGTCCGACTATGCTGCGAAAAGCATTCGTATTGGCTTTCCCATCGGACCAAGGATTGTCGCTTAGATACTTCAATCGGCTGCGTGGGCATTTGCTTGATCGCTGTGACCATCCTGTATCAGCCCCGATTTCTAACATGCGCCGCATGTACCAGAGAAAGCGCAATTGAAAATTTCAGCATAGTTATACAAGCCATTGGTAGTCTCCTCGCTTCCTTAATTGGTGATCTCCACCATTCAGCCTTTTACTGTTCCACTGCTACATGACCACCCATTGACTAGCAGCGATGGATTCTTCTGTCAACGACTCGAGAGAGCTGAGCGAGGTACTCCACGAGTATCCTCATACATGCACGGCATACCCGTATGATCCGTTGCCTCGAAGCCGAAGGCTTATACGTCTGCTCCGGCTGTTGCCTAACGAGCTTTCAGACGCTGGAGTCGTTTGTACACTGGTTACACCAAGCGAACAAGAGAGGCATCAATATCCCTATGAAGCTTTGTCGTGGTGCTGGGGTACGGCAAAGAAAACCGACCACATCACGATTCATCATAATGGCAAGGAATACGTTAGTTATGTCAGTTCAAATCTCAAAGCGGCTCTACAGGCACTTCGCTACCCACGGCGTAGCCGCTACCTCTGGATCGATATGATTTGTATCAATCAGGACGAGTACGTTTATTGCTACAATTGGCTGCACTATGCTGACATAAATAGTTTGAACGAAAAAAACCATCAAGTTGAGATGATGGATATCATCTACCGAGACGCCGAGAGGGTCTGTGTTTGGCTTGGTCCCGCCGATCAATCTAGTCGTGAAGCATTCCGATTCATTCTAGTGGAAATCCTGCAGTTGCAACACTCTTTTAACCTCCAAGATAAATCAACAAATTGCAAGAAGTTGCTCGCGTTCATAGAGCTAGCACAAAAGCCATGGTTCTCACGACGATGGGTTATCCAAGAACTCGCCTTGGCACGGAACGCTATCATCTACTGCGGGGACGATAGAATATCCTGGAAGGATTTCACCATCGCGATACGTCTTCTCGTAGAAGCTCATAACGCGATGTATCTGCTCTCGGAAGTCATAAAGCAAGATCTACTGGAACAATATACTCCCAGCTACTTTGAGCACCTTTCAGCCATTGAGCACCTTCCAGCTACCTTGCTCATCGATTCAACTGAGCGAATGTTTCAATGCCATCACATACGTGCGTTGCCAAACACCTCAGGCGATTTGGATAGCAACAGCTTCACTAGCACTAACGAAAAGAAGGGCAACGGTCTATCGAAATCTGACGATGAAAATTATACAGACAACGTCCGTACCTACCCGAGGACTCGCTTACAGCCCCTACTAAGTCTCGAATACTTAGTGTCAACCTTGACTACGTTTGAGGCTACTTTACCCCACGACACCATCTATGCACTGCTTGCAATCGCCAAGGATACCACGGCACCTGTTATGATGACACACGCTCGTTTTGTGTCTGGTACTGTCGGGACGAGTCACGAAGATAATGAGACATACATGCCGCGCCCGAGCTACAACGTCGACTACAAACTACCGTACGTAGATGTCTGTAAAGACTTCATTCAATTCGCAATCGTTCAGGCTCTGGATAGCAACGCAAGCCGCGCGTTAGATGTCATTTTTCGCCCATGGGCTGTTGAGGAGAAAGAGTTACAGAAGATGCGAGATGCCAAACAAAAAAGGAATCGCAGAGCGTATCGGCAGGACTCTAGAGTGATGATATCTCACTTACAAGCCGATGATACCAGTTCAACCATCACGGACCCGTTTCAGAGCGCATCGGTTGAAGAAAAAGCATTCAAATTTGAAAGCATCAAGTTACCTTCCTGGGTACCCCAACTATCAAACGCACCATTTGCGAGGGAACAAAGTTCCGAGACGAGCAACCCAAGGAGGATTCGAATCAACGCCGACCCTTTGGTAGGACTTCCGAATCCAGTGCAACAAAACTACGCTGCCTCTGGGACCAAAAGTGTCGATATGAAATCGCTTCGGTTTCGTAAGTGTTTGGCAACTAAGCAGTTCAGTATGTATGTGCGTGGTTTCCAGCTCGACGTCATCGCAGAAGTTGCACAAGCAGCTCATCACGGGCATGTTCCAACATCCTGGGCCGACCTAGCGGATTGGAAGAATGCCGAAGAGCTTCCACCTGCTCGATTCTGGCGAACGCTTGTTGCCGATAGGGCTAGTAATGGTTTTAACCCGCCCTACTATTTCTTGCCGGCCTGTCGCGAATGTTTCAACCCAGGTAGTCGCGTGGATCAAACAATTGATACTACGGAGCTTATCAAAGACGCACCCCACACCATTGTCGCTCAATTTTGTCGGCGTGTGCAAGCTGTAACTTGGAATCGCTCACTTGTACGCACCGAGGGAGAGAAGCTAGGCATGGTCGACAAGGACGTCCAGAAGGGTGACCGTATCTGTATACTGTACGGATGCAGTGTCCCAGTTGTATTGCGGGAAAGCCCCAGGAAGACCGAACAGGAATTCGAGGCTGAATTGGGACGAGAGCTGGAGTCAGTCAACAATACTATAGTCAAAGCGGTACTGGAGTATATCAAAAGAACACGGCGACAACGAATCTGGAAAGACAAAGAGATGGCTAAGCTCTGTCGAATGTGGCTCGAAACCACTGGCTACATACACAGGCATCGCTCCGAACCCGGATATTTTCCAATCACAGAATCCCGGCCAGCTGATCAACTGAAGTCCAGATCCCAACGCGTTGAGGGTCTCAAATTAATCATCCTGAAGAAGATCATAGCGGACTTCAAAACATGGTGTGTCGAAGAACGCAAGAAGGCGTGGCTTATAACCAAGAATGGTATTGAAGCGGAGATGGGACAGCGTAACGAGAATCCGAAGACGAGCCCAAGTAGGATGGGTAAGGAGATGGACGCGCATCTAAACAGGCTAGCAGACCAAGCAACAGAGGTGCGCACATCTCGCAAACGAAAACGAGTACAACTACAGCCAGTCACGCACATGCCTGGGATCAGTTTCGACACATCGGTACCCGAGGGAGGTGTCGACTCGGGCGTGCTCAAAGAAGCGTCAGCGGTACTTAAGAAGAAGTCGTTGTTGGATTGGTGGGAAATTGAATACGCCCTTGTCGCCAGTCGCCATTGGAAGCAGAAGGTCAGAAAAAGCAAGGAAGCCCGTGAAGAAAAGTGGCGGTTACAGCGGCTTGAAAACTGTCGGGCTCTCAAGAACAAGAACGTGACAAAGGGAAGTGGAAATGCAGACAGCGTGCCTATGGCCGAGGATACTGCTGTAGGGGAAGGAGCTACCCGTAACGAGGATGGGGTTAGTACGGAGCATTTGACAGAAGGACCAACGGGACAAGATGAGACCACGGTGACCGATGCCGAGAACGACAACGGTGTACGGTCAGGAAATGAGGAACATGATCAGGCGATGGGTGACGAAAAACCGGACAGCGGTGATCACGAGACAAGAGACGATCATCTCAAGGACTACGACATACTTCTGGTGGACGCACGCTCTTCAAACTCGGCAATTCCTGATGCGCATGCACCAACAAAAATCCGGCCAAGCTGGCACCGTAAGATAGAGAGAACTCGGTTGACGGTAGACGAGGCCGAAGAATACGATCATAAAGTCAAGAAGAACCTGCGCGAAAGGCTAGGCGAGGAAGGCTACTATTCCTACACACTTCTCGGCGAATGCTACATTCACGGGACGATGGACGGTGAGGCGATGCGGCACCGGAATGGGAGTGCTGAAGGGGTACTTCCTTCGATGGTATTTGAGATTCGTTGATACTTGGTTCTTTAGTTCGTGTAGCGAATATAATTGTGTAATGTCTCAAGCTCGCTACAAATCCGCCAAAGTTGAGAGTGCGACAGGGTAATTAGATGGTTAGCCCGAATTATGAGATGTCGCGTCCTCACGTGCATGCGCGTGGTCACTAGCTTAAACGGGCCACGTTTCAGGAGCCTGACGCGTCAGCCCCACTTCCGCGTTGCCGAGGAAATGCCAGGTCGTTTTCTCGTTACATTCCCCTTGTTGTAGCGGCACCACGCCTCAATTCTTCACGCCTTGCACCTCGATTCCCCTCAATTGAACTCAGAATCCTTACAAGAACTCATAGAAACCATGGTTGCCCACTGCGCGCTGTGCCCTGACGAAGGCAAGCTCAGATGTGTCGCTTGTAATGGAATTCAGTACTGTTCCAAGCGGTGCCAAAAGGCCGATTGGAAAGTTCACAAGCTCATTTGCAAGTCCTTCAGCGAGCACATGAACAATCGTCCCAGTCAAAAGCACTACAGCATCATTGTCTTCCCGAAAGATGAAGAAGCTCCTCGCTTCGAGTGGACTCTGTTCGAGCCTGGCACCTACAACGCCAAGATTCCGTCACCCAAGAAAGCCTACGTGCAAGAGCTGGGCTTCGAGTTTTACGGGGTAAACTGCAACAATCGCAACAACCCCATAGGATACTTCGAGGAAGACAGCACGGATTACACAACCAAGAGGCACATCGCTGGAAAGCATCTCGGGTTGCTCTTTACGAGAAACCTGGGATCTTTCGAAGAGCCCTTGCCGGAGGATATACCAATCAGTCCGTCAATTCCTCTCTATGGGTCGCACAAGAAACATGCTAATTCGATACAGACAAGAGTTTGATGGACATCGATCCTGAGCTTGCGCGACTCCACGGAAAAGGTCACGTCCTTGCCTGGGGCTGCCATTGTCCCGAAGACAGACGCAAGACCTCTGATCTCAACTGCACACCGGCAGACTTCCGCCATGCCGTCGACGCCCTGAGAAAGAACCACTACAAAGATAGCCTGCGGGCGAAGGAGGTTATATCAAGGAAGACCGGTGGTGTCCTCGCCGTGCGCCTCACCTGCGTGGGCGACAAACTCTTCTTTGGACATCCAACATATGAGAGTCAGATCGAGCCGCGCTCCATCCTGAGCAAGGATTCGCAAGTTCCATGCCCAGTAGCCGACAAAGTCGGCATTCCACTGATCATCCGGAAGGAGCCTCCCGCGCTCTCTTGGCGCGACCGCGACTTCGAATCCCGTCGGGAGAACCACAACGCGGCGATGCTCAACCCGCCTACCCAGAAGACCAAGACCGGTACTTTGATCATTGCGCGCAAGGACGGCAAGCCGCTTCTGCCTACGCACCTCTTCTGCCTCATCATCTACACTGGCGAAAGGCTCCAAGACCCGCAGTTCGGTGAGGACGGCCCTCGTCTGCCGAGTATGATGTTGCAGAGCCGTTTGAACCTGGTGTCTCCGGAGGACTTCGAGGAGTATTACAACAACGAATGGCATCGTTTGAAGCTTAGTGAGAGGTTTGTTCCCTCGCCTTTCCAGATGTATGATGACTATGATGGCGAGATTCATCCTATCAATATGAGATAGGTTGGGATGAAATGAGAGAAGCGCTGGCTTGTGGATGAGATAGAGCGATGTAGGAATGCACGACTGAATGTAGTCTGTTATATTCAGCTAGATAGCGTCACCCAAATCAACTTACACCCCGTACCTACAACTCGCTCTTATGCGACACCTCCCTACTAACACCATCCCCCTCTTTCCCACCACCACTTCCAGCTAGCCTCACAGCAATGGTAGGCTTATGTACCAACGTCTGCAGCACCACACAATACCTCTCTGTCAACTTGCCCAGCTTCTCAATTTCTTCCTCGGTGACCTCCTTGCCGTCTTCCCTCTCCCCAAACTTGACCGCAAACTCCAACCGTATGCCTGTTATACCAACAGGGGCCGTCCTGTCTACGCCCAATGTGCCTTTGAAGTCCAAGTCTCCCTCTGCGGTGACGGTGCCGGAGGCGATGGGTATGCCGAGGGCGGTCGCGACGGCTTTCAGGGTGACGCCTGAGCAGGCTACTAGGGCATCGAGAAGCATATCTAATTGACGGCGCGTAAAGTCAGCACGTGTATCAGATGTAATTCCGATAGAGACATTGCTTACCACCAGAGCATAGTTCGCCGGATATCGCTGGGTCATCACCGCCAGCCTTTTGGTGCAGACCAGCCACTCTATGCGCTTCCTTGACGGCGGAGCTATCGGACAGCTTGCATGTTATCGAATGATCATCGAGAGAGCCAGTAGATTTGAGGGTGACAACGGCGGAAGATGGATCGCTGCGGTACCCGTCTTTGATCGGGGCTTGCTTTTGGCGGAGGGCTTGAGCGGCGGACATGTTTGCGATGAATTGAATGCGAGGTCGGTATGTGAAAGAACGCCAACTCCTGTACTTAGTTTCAAGTATAAACTTCTGCAAGGACGCCTAGAAACTTTCTCAGAGGCTCAAAAGTCGTCGTTAGCCTATACATCATTATGAAGTGTACCCCGCAAGGGGCAGGTGCGAGCTCCGCAGCCCCGCTTCGCCGCTGGTGCGAACGATCAAACAGGAAGGAGGGGTGGCTCGGTCGGGACGTAACCCAGGAATTTCATGTCGAGAGCTTGGGATCGTATGCTAACGAGCATATTTGAGATGGAAGAGAGGAAGAATAGTAGGCACGACTGCGCGAGTTGGATTTGCTATAGACACGTGCAGACACGCGATAGGATAAGCGTCAGGGGTCCAGCGCGTGTGCGGCACGCGTCTTCGCTCCACTTCAACGTCATTTCTCGTCACGTCTCTTGCCTTCGTACAATTCACATTGTGATCGCGTCCTTTCTTCCGCGTGCACTAATCCTCCATCCTCGAGCATGACTTAGTGCCAGCCACGTTTCTCTGCTACAGGCTCGTCACGGTTGGGACGACGGTCGTCGCATTGCCAGTGGTCCAAGGCTACAGCTTTCGATGCTGAGGGTCGACAAACACCAGCAGAAGATCTAACGTGCTACCCAGCTTAGTCTCACAATACCCGTTCACGCGCCCCCACTCTTAGCGCTGTGATCTCGACGTCGACATCCTAGCCATCCTACCCCAGCGCAACCGCACTTGCACCTACGCGCTCAGCATGGCTCGCTTTGCCGACCTCCCTACTGAGCTCGAGCTCCAGATCGCATCACATCTCTCCTCCAAAGATCTCGCCTCCTATGCGTGCATCGGCAAAGTCCAAGCCAAGGTCGCACGCGAGCATCTCTACTCCGCACCGACGATCGAACAACCAGATGAGGGGCATCGGCTAATGATGTTGTTACGCACATTGTTCGCCCGCCCTGAGCTCCTCAAAAGCATACACTCGATATCGCTCGCTATCGTGAACTGTACTATGCCTTTCGGCCTCGGTTCGACAGCAGAAGAGGCCGATGCTACACGCATCGATTGGGATACGACTAACAATGCCCGTTTTGTTGAGGTCGATAGAATTGTCGGCAGCCCTCATTGCTTGGGATACAAGAACGTGTATCAGCAGCTCGTCTTCCGCCTCAAAAAAGTCATGGGCGATCATGACTCCGAGCGGTATTGGTTTTCGCATATCGTGAGATGGCGCACTGCAGCTCTTTACGGCGGATTACTTCGAATTCTGCCTAATCTAGAGCGACTGGAGCTTGAATGCTACACCAAGCTACATGAAGGAATATACCTACCTACAGATGAGACAGATCGCAAGTTTTCGGAAAGTCTCTTTCCTTCCACGCCGTGGCGCATAGGCCCGGTGCGTTTCCCATTGTTGAGCGAGCTGCATGTCAAGTGCGGACTCTTGGTCAATAGCACTCACCTGTTACCCAATTTGAGGACCTTGAAAATTGGTGAGCTCGCAGATCTCCCCCATACTGAGTTTCCGTCCCTAGTACGCATGCACCATTTGTCTGCCAGCGCTTCCTTGTTGCAAGGAAAAAGCCCGGATTGGGCTATGCCTCGACTATATCACCTCCATGGTGAGATGTTAGAAGTACAAAACTTCAATTTACGCTTCCGGGCACGGACCATCCGCAGTATTGGCGGTGGTCCCGTCCGATACGGTGGTATTCTTTCTCTTGCTGGGATATTGGAACGTCTCCATGTGTCTAAGTCAATTCTAGAGACGCTATCCGTAGAACCCATCGACCATAGCGAATTCCTACACTGTCGATTTCCGGTTACTCCTGATGGGTTGATATCGGACTTCAGCATGTTTACCAGCCTACGAGAGCTTACTTTGCCCTTTCGACCATCTTCGGACACTCTGGAGGGTAAACTACCCCCAAGTTTGGAAAAGCTTAGTCTACTTTGCACCAGCGCAGTTTCTCCCACATCGGTCGAACATACCCTTCAACACCGGCTCAAGTACGGCAGCTTCTCGCGTCTCGATCTTTTCCTCTTGTCTGAGGCCCACGTGAACATCAATCACAAAGCCTGGCATACGTTCAAGAAAGCTGGTGTGGCTGTGTATATCTGGGTGCGGCAGTCTGTGCTTCTGTGTGAAATGCCTGTGTAGGGTAGGAGGGCTTGGGGAACGGCATTGACATTTTCTGATGAATCAGCAGAAAACTTGGCAGAGTTGTGAGGAGCGATCATATTGATGCAAATCCGGACATGGCTGTGGGACCATGGCGGACACCAAGAGACTAAGAGAGTAAACGCGTCTTCACGTGATCTGGGTCTGCTTTCCTTCTGGGTAGCACCTTCCAAGCCTGGGCCACACCACTCAGCAAATACACCGACTCAGTGAGTGTCAACATATTCTGAGTCTCCGCGTCTTCCAACACCGCCATCATTGCAGCTCGCGGTTATTGCACGGCAGACCGCAGTGCCTCCAGCCAAGTCCCTGGTTGCGCTCTTCCACCTCCGGGTCACGACTAGCGCTCAAGAGTCTTCGTGTTACGACTTTCTCTCGCTATCATCCAGCTTTTAGGCAGCCCGGGTCCCACTTCAACGCTTACCTACTCACGAAACCCGTCGAGCTGGACGGCGCCTACTCCAACACATTTTCGCACAATCCGATACCACAAGCTTTGCCGTCAATATGTCGCTCCCCAGCTCCGCCGCTGTCTGTCAAGCTACTCCAGATGACAAGCCGTTCAACTTCGTCGCTCTTCCCCTCGAAGTTAAGGAGCTTATATACAAGCACGCCATGTTCGCGGGCGGCCATCTCTGCGACGAACTCTACGTTTATTCCGGAATTCTCGGCAATGCACTTAAGAAGTCTTTCCCAGCGATTTGCTTCACTAACAAGCTCGAGCGCATCATCGCTTCCCGACTCTACCTACGATACCAAACAATTGTTATGCACAACAGCGACGACTCACCAGTGCTTGAAGCTTTCCTATCACAGTTCGGAAAAGCCAATGAGGGACTACAGTGGTTGAAACATGTTGAGTTTGCGAATTTAGGAGACTTCTGTGATTTTAGCAAAGCTGTACCTTTGATCAAGGTGTGCACCGCGCTAAAGACAGTTGTGTTCCACATACTACCAGACCATCTTTACGAATGGGAGGAAGAAGGCCTGTTCAGAGGTAGACCTAGCACTGGTACTGAGATCTCCGAGCGCCTGCGTCTACATGGCTTGTCCAACTGTGGCCATCTGACCAAGGTTCGATTCAGCGTGTGGGAGGGTCGTCGTGCAGAATTGGAGGGCTTGAAGGTGTTGATCCATGACTTTGCATGTGCTTTCTTGGCGCTGCACGGATCGACGACTTCCAAAAAACTCGATGTCGATATCGAGGATGAGCATGGTCCGATATGGGTGTTGAAGCCGCAGGCATGAGAGCAAATGCACGGACATGGCACGATAAAGTAATTATCGATGGGCTTTTTGCTGCATGCGATTACGAATTCGCAACAGCAATGGGTGTAATGGTGAGGGCTGGGGTATACATTGATGTGCGTCACAATACAACCAACGCAGATGTGGGTTATTGAGGTCGACGTGAAGCTGGGTGAAGGTGAAGGCGTGATACAATAAGATCCCTGTCTTTTGTCGGCGCGATTCAGTACCAACCAGTGTGTAGGCCCTTGATTGCGAATAATACGATGTTTAAAGTCTGAGCTTGAAGACAAATTATGTATCATTAGGAATCTCATTTCATCTTTCCTAGTGGCGAGTGCCTACGCACTCTGCAGTGCATGCCCGTGTCGTTTTGGCATTCATATGAGAGAACGCCTGGGGGCCTGAGGCCGAGAAAGACCAAGCTCGATACGCCGCGTACTAACCGTGCAGCGTGTCGAAGTAGCAGTCGACAGACTTGATCTTGTTCTGTCCATTGCCGTTAGTCTAGATGTCCTTGCCAAAAGGGCCAAATATCTAGAGCACTCACATCCAATCCGATAGTAGCAAGATTTGCAATGGATTCGCGGGCCGAGTACGACGGGTTACCTTGGCATTTGGAATTCCTAGCTTGGGTCAGCCTTGTATCACTTGTGAGCCTGCTTGATGAGACCTACTCGTATAATTTGCAGGTAAAAGGCCTGTCCCTATTGTTATAGCCGTCGGGACACGGAGTTAAAATGACCGAGGAAGCCCAAGGGTTGTCCCTACAATGTATCAGCAAATGTACATGGTGGAGTCTGGTGCGCTTACTCCCTGATTACCCTACAGCCACTATCGCCCTGGTGGCAGGAGTAGGCGACACTTCTGCTACCTTGGTAATCGGGTTGTTCAAATAGGGCAAGCTAAATGGATATCAGCGAGTTGATCAAAGGGACTATGATGCGCCATACCAAGTACACGTCTGCGGCGCGGGTGTCTGCGGTGCCGATGTCTGCGGTGCTGATGTCGGAGTGGCGCTCAGAACGAGCATCAACTCCAGCGACGTGAGCATCCCTATCCCAGAAGCACTGCATAGACTTAATCGTTTCCTGTTCATCATGGTCAGTAAAGAGACGCTTCTTCCACGACGTCCAGACCCATTGGTACTCACATCGAATTTCGGCGTCGTCTTCCTGAGATCGTCGATAGACGTGCGCGTCCAAAGGAACCTAGAAGTATAGTCGCAGGTCGGTGTGCTAGCTAACGTTACCCCCGTACCGCAGATGAGGTTGCTAGATAAGACCTACGAGAAGAAGAAACATGCGAAAGTCCTGCCCGCGTTCGGTGAGCCATCGGGACATGCTTGTAGAGTGAGCGAAGACGCCCATGGCTCAGAGCTTAGATATGTTAGTCATGGTGAAGTAGACTAGCTCAGTACACTCACGCGCCGTCCGCTAGGCAACCGTTCATCCCTGTAGAGCATAGGTAGGCACTACCTCGCCTGCCTTGCCTGTAGAGTTCTTGGTAGAGGTATACCTAGATGGCAGTTAGGAAAATGAGCAACAGATGATGGTGTGCACGTACAGCAGCCGGAGGATTGCCAGTGCCTGCAGTGCTGACGTCGGTAGCCTCGGAGATGCCGTCGAGCTTGACGCGGGACGCGCTAGCGAAGATGTCCTGAGGCATGATCACGTCGCTGCCGTCGATGACCATAGGCTCATCGCCGAGCTCGATCGTGGTGCCATCGGTCTTTTGCAAAGTGAAGCCTGCTGCAACCGAAAGCAGCGTCAGAAAGAGGATGAGGAGACGCATGGCGGGTGAAAGATTGCTGTAGGAGGACGAAGTGATGAGTCGAATTGGGAAGGAGTTGATTTGACTTGTTGGTGCAGGAAGAAGTAAGAGGTAAGGATCGCAACGGGAGCGTAGGTTCATGTGTTGAGAAGAGTAGAAGGTAAAGGCAGGCTAATTCCAGAGCCAACAAGTGATTGCCCGTTTGCCAACATTCCAATCGTTAGTGAAGCCGAGGCCTATGCACGACTCCTGTGTCACGTATGAGAAGTCAGTCAATTGCACGTGCTTTCGCGCAATCGACGCCGCGAGAAAGCTGGTTAATAACGTGTGTTGGCCTGTCATTTTCACTTATCGGTGATTGTCATAGGGACTCCTGATGTGGGGCACTATATCAATATAATCGTTCGAGGTTAGGAAATGCCCAGACAGGCCTCCGCTAGCCCTCCCAGATATTGCATCAGATGTTCGTGACACCCAGCTTTTCTTCCCTTTGGCCTACTGTGGCGAAGCTGAAGGAAGCTAAACCTCATCCTACAAGCGTGTCTCTCTCGTAAACCGAGTCGCATGTTAACCCGATATCACCTGGACGGCCCGCCTGTATGCCAGCCCTGCGTTCACCTCAAATCGGAAGTCCTACGAAGACGCGATACCCGGTGACCTACCCAAACGTGTGCTCCATGAAGACCTTTGGAGAAACGACACTTAGTGCATCATCCAGCAGTCGTGGCGATTCCAAGGTAATTCGAGTATAGAGAGTGCGTCTGATCAATGTTGAAGTTCAGAGCATGGCATCGGATGGCCCAACGACAACCCCGCGGGTGATCGGCGCTAAGGCCTCTGAGCTCTCATTGGCCCCCGCCATCGCCTACAGGTAGGCAGCGACTACCACCAGAGAACCCCGCGCCTCGTAGCCTTCGCCCTAGACCTGCCACAATGCATCAATCAAGTGTTGGCAATCTGCTTAACCTACTCCCTCGACCTCCATGGACGCAGCCACTCGATTGGGACCTAGGAATGAACTGGGATGGCGAAAAACGTGTCTTCTTCTCTGCGTATGTGAGGCATCGTGACGGCAACAGTACGTCGCAACCATCGCCTACCGGGTTCTCTTCATTCCAAAGGCTCCCCACCGAACTTCAGCTCCGTATCCTCTCATGTTGTTCGATACCAACCCTTTGGCAGCTCATGCGAACGTCATCCATGCTACGCATTGAGTCATCAAAGCTATTCTGGGGACATCCCGATGCCTCTTTCCTCCTGAGTGGTCATTGGATTATTGGAGGCGGTTATCCTGGTCGTACTTGTCTCGACCTTACGTTCCTTGCCTATGTACAGAACGTAGAGATTGAGTACAGCTGCCTGCACTACTGGCTTTGGCCGAAACAAGAAGCAAAGGCATCATTTCGTCTAGAAGACGTGCAACAAGACATTGTGGCTGGATTTTGGTCTACATTGAAGAAGAGATGCCCCGCAGCTAAGAGGGTAGTGTTCAATCAGAATTTGATGCTCTGCGACGTCATGGAGGAAGTCGAGAAGGTGCCACTGTGCCTGGAAGTATTGTTACGAGCTTCTCCAAAAGACATCGTCGCTGAGGCAGTCATCATGCAGACGCGAGGGGAAGGTGAGAATTGGAAGACCGATTTGTACAGCTATAGGGAGAAGCCGCAGTGGAGGAATGTATACTTTCGGCCTCTTGGAGATAGAGGCTGGGAATATCTTGATGCGACAACGCGTAATAACACAGTACTAGTGCCTGGACGGCTATTTCGCGGTCTAGTCGGGCAGTTCGAGAAAGACAGCTTTGTTTTGGATAGGATCATCTTCCAAGAACGCGCGTTTTGGCCTCTCGTCATAGAAGCCTTGGACCGACATCACTTCGATAACGGGAAAAGCAATGCTTTCGAATGCCCGAAGCCCGAATGCTCGGTGAAATTTACAAAGGCTGGCGAATGGACGATACATGCAGCGACCACGTCACATGGCTGCGCTCGAGCAGGGGATGATCTCTTCGATATACTGCCTACAGAACTGCGAGGAGTATTCAAGGACAGGTACAATATGTTGATGATAAAGAGACAGGAATTGAGCGAGGTCTACACAAAGATCTCAAAAGATTGGAACGAAGGTGGGGAAAAGAGAAAAAGAATGCAGCAAGAAATTCTTCAACAACTGGAAAACGATCCAGATTGGGCGACAGACGAGCCGGCGGCAGATCACCGGATCTGGAAGAACTTCACAAAGGTGATGGATCCGACCTGGAATGGACAGTGAATAATATTTGCGACCTGGCTGAGAGTGTATAATGACATTTCAGGGAACTAGTTCGGTCGCGACGCGGTAGTTTCAAAGGGTCGCATGCCGGTAGTCGGAAAATGCAGTGATCTATGCACACTAGATCGTTTGGAGTCTCACGGGCGCGACGTGAGCTTGATCAGGATCAGTAATGCTATCAAATACCCAAGTCGCGGTAGAGCCGGCTTGGTTTGTTCGCTTCCGTACAATTTCTTCGGTACCAACTCAACCATGATCTCAAGATCAGGTGCATCGGCACATTCTCAAATGCTGAATGATCCGGTGACGTGTTTACTCAACAGGCTACGAATATCACCCTACTCCACCTCCGATGGGTCAAGCGCGCGTACCGGGATGCTCAGTCGGACACCGACTTTGCCATCTCGAACCATCGGGCCGTAAAATTTCTCGCTCCTCACGTACGCTACCAAGCGTGTCCATGTGCAAATTTTGAGCCTCATCCTACCCACAACGCGTCTCGAAGCACGCGTGGGCCGGTCGGAGATGTCGGAGCACCCGAAAACGGAAAGCCGACCGCCACTATAACGTGTTTTCGCGTGGCAGACCATCTAGAAGTCAGCAAGTTGCACGCCCCACGTGCAAATGTCGGGGCAGGTCGGAGGTGGATCGAGAAATCGATAGTGGAGATTCCGCGGAGGAGTGAATCGTGCGCCGGTGTGCCATGGGGGCGAGGCGCCAGGCGTTCAAGACGGTAGCCGAGCTGACGTCACGGGTCGCATTCTTAACTTCGATAAACAAGGCTAAGACGCGTGGCGCAGCTTGGCGCGGGCGATCGGCGCAGCTTGGTCTGCCTTCTTTCGATGCTTAGAGGGCGGGCGGATGCCTTGTGTTGGAGGCTTAAAAGCCAAGAGCGGGTGTTGCGAATCCATCTGTGGTGTGGGCATCGTGCGAAGATAAGACTCGCAATGCAGTCAAGGATGACGTAGCACACCTTCTACCAATTACTCGGTGTACACCCGACAGTGAGGAGATGGCAAGGCGTCCCGCGCGTCTGTCCAAAGCCAATACTACCTCCGCTTCGGTCGATGCGCACTTAAGTTTCGACCCATATTTAATGCTACATCGCCTGGTCTGAGAGGTCCCGGGGCCAGTGTCCAACGGCCTCTAGCACCAACGCGCAATAGCGCTCAAGCCCTGTCAGCCGTCGAAGCTGTAATATGACGTTTCGAGGATTCGAGCGCGTGCCTTGTGATGCGCACAGTATGCATTGGGCTCTTTGGAGCGTGCACCCGCGCCTCTGGATTCACTGCGCGTCTTATAAGTTGCTTCTTCCGCCTGCGTGACGTCTGGGTTTTCTCACCTTACCCCAGATTCTTCGACCCAGTCCCCGCAACTGGTTCCCGGGTTGACTACTTTCAACCAACAACCCGCCCAAGCGCATTGCTGTCGACAACATGGCGTCTGCAGCAGAGCGTAAGCCCGAAATCCACGATATGGACACCGTCAACAAGAACGAAGCTGGTGACGCTGAGAAGAAGAGCGCTTCCGACGGTGACCTTCACCACACTGAGAACCCGGCCGATCACGCGATCACCGCCGCCGACAAAGAACACTACGAAAAGTACGGCACCTACGATCGCTACGAAATCACTGAGGAAGACTGCTACGACGAACTCGGATTTTGCTTTCCAACATGGAAGAAATGGACTATTCTCAGCATCGTCTTCATGGTGCAGGTCAGCATGAACTTCAACACCTCGCTGTACAGCAACGCCGTCGGGGGCATTTCTGAAGAATTTGGCGTCAGCAAGCAGGCAGCGCGTCTGGGTGCAGCCATCTTCCTCATCACGTACGCGTTCGGTTGTGAGCTCTGGGCTCCCTGGAGTGAAGAGCTCGGACGATGGCCCATCCTCCAGCTCAGTCTCTTCTTTGTCAACATTTGGCAAATTCCCGTGGGCATTGCGCCCAACTTCGGCACCATCCTTGGATTCCGTGCCCTCGGTGGTCTCTCTACTGCGGGTGGTTCAGTCACCCTCGCCATGGTCGCGGATATGTGGGAACCGTAAGTACTTTGCGCCTTCATTCGAATTTCATACTAACAGTGTTAGTGACAACCAACAATACGCCGTCGCGTTCATCGTCTTCTCCTCCGTCGGCGGCTCGGTCCTCGGACCCATCGTGGGTGGCTTCGTCGAACAATTCCTTGCCTGGAGGTGGAACATCTGGATTCAGTTGATCTTCGGTGGAGCCGTCCAAATCGCCCACGCCATCTTCGTTCCCGAAACCCGTACCACCGTCCTCATGGACCGCATCGCTAAGAAGCGCCGTACAGAAGGCGAGAAGAACGGCAAGCCCAACAACATCTGGGGACCCAACGAGCTCAAGACGTTCAAGGAACGTTTCAGTGTCCACGAGATTCTCGTTACCTGGGTTCGTCCCTTCCGCATGTTCGTCACGGAACCCATCGTGCTCGTTCTCTCTCTGCTCTCCGGTTTCTCCGATGCCATCATCTTCATGTTCCTGCAGTCATACGCACTCGTATACGAGCAATGGAACTTCTCCGCCTACGCTATTGGACTGACCTTCATCGCTATCGGTATCGGCTACTTTATCGCATGGTTCTCGTTCTTCCCGGCTATCAAGCGCAACGAGCGCCTCCGTCGCGACCACCCCGATGATGAGAAGTCTCAATACGAGGCGCGTCTTTGGTGGTTGCTGTACACCGCGCCGTGCCTTCCTATCGGTCTCATCATCTTCGCTTGGACAAGCACTGGCCCACCAATCCACTGGATAGGATCTCTGATTGGATCAGCAATCATTGGTATCGCCAACTACGCCATTTACATGGCCACCATCGACTACATGATCTGCGCGTACGGTCCTTACTCAGCTTCCGCGACTGGTGGCAACGGTTGGGCTCGTGACTTCCTCGCCGGTGTTCTTACACTCCCCGCCACGCCTTTCTTCTCAAACATTGGCGGAGAAAACCATCTCGCGTACGCGTCCACGATCCTCTTCGCGATATCTCTTCTTCTCGTAGTTTCGGTCTACGTCATCTACTGGAAGGGTCCCGAACTCAGGAAGCGCAGTCCCTTCGCACAGCAACTTAGTGCAGCTCGTGACGAGACTGGTGGTCGCCGCGTCAGCAGCCTTCCAGGCATGTACGGTTCTCGCGCAAACTCATTCGCGCAGCAGGGCGGCTCGATGCCCAATTCTCGCAGGGGTAGTGTGGTGCGCGGTGTTCCGGGTGGCGAGAACAGGTACGCGATGCACCGCAGGCAGAGTGCGCGCAGCGCCGGAGGCGCTTGAGCTTCGCTCGTGTTTCTTAGCAATACAGGCGATACGGCATAATGATATCTTAATGTTCATGAATTGATTGTGTCTTGTGAATATGTTGGTGATGGATGGCGATACCCCGCCTTGTGATCTGTGCTGGCTGTTACATAATCGGATCTGCCCTGCTGTTGCCGTTGCTGCGCGACTTCCTATCCAGACACCACAAACACCAAAATCCTCCTGTATCTTTGACATCAATATGACGCGACTACCGGTGCGACAGCGCAATCACTCTTATGACGCAGAGCGCATGTACCTTCATACTGCGAACGCCACAGGCTGACCAAAGAACATCAGGCCGATCCAGCGGCCAAGCTAGGTTTGCGCCGAGAGCATTTCGGCCACACGCGAAACAAAGGGATTGCATCCACCAAATTCAACCAATATCTCTTGTAGACAAATGCAAGTTTGTCTCATCGCCCTCGTGTTATTATACAACCGCGTTCGGTACTGTCTTTGGGGTTATTTCCTCCGGGTTCACAGGGGTGTCCGCGCCAGTCCCATCTGTGTGTATACCCTCTTCGAGAATGCTATTTTTCGAAAAGAAGCGCAAGATCTTCTTCTCGATATCAATACCCTTAGCCTGCCAGGCGATTGCTTCCTCAAACTCATCGAACTTCACACCAGCTTCTTTCGCGCGCCCACGGATCCCACGAGTTCGGAACAGCCAGATCCAGTGTGAGGCGACCATGCTCATTTCGATGGCACAGCTAAGTATCGTTAGTCTTGGACACTGATAACATGATTACCACGATACATACCATAATGCGTACATCGTCCCAAAGAGCACGTCAAACTCGTTCTGGGCCACGAGAGCCATCAGCGAGAAGAATGCGCCGTTCCAATCGATGGCCAAGAAGATGAAATCGATGCCTACAACACGACCCCTTCTCTTGAGTAGCTCAAACGGAATGGGCATGTAGCCTGAAATGAGAGTGAGAAAGGCGACGATGCCGATCAACAACACTGGCCACTCTAGCCCGTCGGAGTATGGTTGTCGAACAGCGTAGACAAGGCCGACTTCTACTCCTGCAAAAACGGCGAGGAGAGCGAAGAGCAGGAGGGATGCGGTCCAGGTCCGCCACTTCCTAATCTCGGTTAGCTATCCTGTATTGACCGGCAATGCGGTTTGTTCGTTGGGCTCACCGGCTGTATATGAGACATTGCGCCCAACTAACACCACACAGCACACAGAAGCACTGTGGTTGAACGATAAGAGCAATGGTAAATTGCTGCGCTATCGCGTACACTCCGAAGGGTACTCCACTAATTGACCACAGCAGCATCATGGACTCCGGCAGTCCATCTGTTTTCTTGGTTCTCCAGTTCCGGTATATTTGTGGTAGTAATTGGACGCACCAACATACTGTTCCAATGGTCCCGAGTACGTTCGCAGCTAGTGGTATTGACGTCTGTGGCGCCATTTCGAGTCAGAAGAATGAAATCGAAAACGAACAACGCGGTGGTTTAATCCCAGGATTGCGTAGTTGGAAGCTCTATCGCAACTCAGGTAAGAGAGATTAATGTGTACTAAGCATCGGTGGCGAACTAAGGAGTGAAAATGCCGGCCCACTATCTAGCTCATATGACGACCAGTGAGAGCGCGGTGCAAGAACGGCTCATCCACGAAATCGCAACTTGGGAAAACCGTTAACCTTTCACTGTCTCTCCGCCTTCTACATGGGCGAAGATTAAGCCAATCCTACTGGTGTATTCTGCGTTCGCTTGGTCCCGTGCTGCGGGTAGCTAGGATCACGCTATACGAGTCTGGAAGATAGAGCGCATGCCGTGCATAAGCTTTCTCCACTCTTTCTTACGGATGCCGATCCGGGTTGTAGACCCTCGGTATGCTGCCCGAGTCCGTTATCTACGATGCACCTTACAGGCTTCGCGCTCGAGCTTTAAGTGTCTTCGCGTGGGATATAAGATGTTTGTATTAGTGGATTGGTGTGTAGATAACAGTGGTTTGCCAGACCCGTTCGGCGGAATGACCGTCTCCATACTCAACCACGGTCTACGATAACTCTCGTTTGGGAAGAGTGTATGCTCCGAATCATCGCGCATTTCTCGGGATCTTTCTTCACTCCTTTGCTGTCTATTCGTTTCCACCATGACTGTCTCTACTGTCGTCAGTCCTGTTTTCTAACGATACTCTACACTAAATGACTTGAGAAGCTTAAGAAAAACACTACAGTGAGTGGTATTAATGCCTGTGAGCTCTATGAAGAATGTGTGACGGAATCGTTACTGCGTTAAGAAGACTGTAGATCCGATTGAAAGATGGGTATAAGGAAGTAGTCGGATCGTTACTGCGTTATGCAGGTAGTGAATATGCGGGTGCACACACGGCTGCCTATGGCTACCACCTCGCATATATATTCCGTGCTCTATCGACTGCGGGACACAGAAGACCGTACTATCAGCCTACAACAAACACCTCAACACATATCGTATACCTCCCGCCTACTCACTATGGCCGCCACAACCCAGCCCGACGGCTTCTTGGCACTTCCCGCCGAGCTCCAAGTCAAGATCTACGGATACGTTCTTGCCGCCGCTCCCAAAACACCTGGTCCAGGTAACCTCGCACTATACGCCGGTCTCCTTCTGTCGTGCAAGAAAGTTGCCTCCGACTTCGAGTACGAATGGGCTAAATACTACAACGCGCGTCTCCAACATATCGTCAAAAACACTTGCTTTCGCCCCTTGCCTGTCAAACAGTACGGGCATGCGGCCCGCCTTCGTATCTCAGTCACACAGCCGGGCCCGGGGCCATACGTTTACGAAGTACGAGCACCACCAGACTTCATGGAAATGACGCGGTTCTACACTCTGCGGCTATTTTACCCAGCCCGCAGTCTTACAGTAGAACAATTTCTCTCCTCAGGTCAAGCACTTCAACTCGAGGTCCTGCGATCAGGAGTCGCATCAAGCGGAGGCTTCCCTCGGGTTGACTTTAGGGCGCAGGAAATACACTGTTCTTGTACACCGATTTACGAACGCCAACACTCCCAGAACAGCCAGAATGGAAGCTCGAGCGATCATGTTCGGCGTCTGACCCTCGAATCCATACCATATGAGATTCGGGATCAGATTTGGTACCATGTGCTATCCGAGAGTCCGACTATGGAACAGATTTGCGATTTGTTGGATGTGTTCAATGACTCGCCCATGATTCAGGACCACCTTATGTACGGCGCCTTCGGGGATCGTTTGTTCAGGCTTCGTTGAATATAGCAAGCGGGGCACATAGGGGAAGTTCTGAAGGTGTCGATGATCCAGAAGCAAACGAGCCACGTAATGATAGCACTGAGGAGATCTTATTGTATGTAGCAGGGTCCAACAATGGAAAGCATCCAGACTCTAGTTTTGAATAGTTAGCTCATTGAGCCATCACCAAAATCGACAGGTGTTCGCGAATCTATTATACTCGGCCTGGTGTAGCTTCAGTTGACGTCTTCTCATTCTGCGTACCAAGTCGTACTAGCGTATCAGCAGATGTTCTCATCGTGTCTTCCGGGTCGAAAATCTCCGGCGCTACGTTGCGCCATTGTTTGAGCGAGACCTATGTATAGTGTGGGGATATCTGTCGACGGAATTGAGCGGAGCCCTGTCAGCCCATTTAGGAGATTATGTAAGACGAGCTAAGTGAGCGGCGCCGATCTTCATACGTCACAACCCACTCACATCAGTCACCGCCGCCAAATCCATCAGCACAACGTCGGACATTCTTGCCGTAGATATACCCATCTTACAACTACAAGCGAATACGCTGTCAGAGCTTTCCGCCCTAACAATCTTCCGATACCGTGATGTACGGCAACGTCTTTCTCACGTAATGACGATGAACCTGGAGAATTGGCAAGTGCGCTCGGCCGGAGGCACTACCACTGAAAACCACCGAGATCCGCTACCCTAAACCATGCGGTGACCAGAGAGTCATAACCATCGCGATCAGCACTCAGCTTGCAGCAAAGACAATGTTGGCTGCTGCTGAGGAGAAGCAAACCGCAGCCATCATCACATCTAATTCGCAACTCGCCCAATCAGCATATGCGGCCTAAGATCCCGACAGCCATCCAAGATACGACCGACGTCATCATCGACCGTTGTTTTGCTTGAGGCATCTCAAGCGATCCAATTCCGTTGTAAGAAGTGTTCGCATCGAGGTGTATCGTGATGTGCAGAGCTCAGGTGTCATTCCGATGGAACGCCTATCATGCACGCGCGTCAACGGTCCCTTGTCGTTACCGGATCTTTACATCCTGAACTTTGTGGGGTAGCGCCATCGGCTCCGCGATCCCCCAATAGTGCAAGCCACGGGCCGCTTCAAACAACGAAATTTTCTTAATAGCCTTGGTAGGCTCTACCTCATATCTCGCTATGCATCCCACGACATCCGCAACGAATGCCTCTTAGGACTTCCCATGGGCGAAGAGATCGCTCCACCCCAAGGTTTCGGTGCTTGGGGTCCGTTTGTTCGCGACAACTACCGCCCTATACGTGTGACTCGCGCAGACATAGCCGTAGCGGCTGCAGCGTTCGGTCTGACCATCTTCTTCGCCATAACCGCAGGCTTCATCGCCATCAGGCAGACGAAAGCATGTCGGCGCCCAAGGACCAGTATCTATATTTGGATGGTTTGGCTGGAAATCGCGGCTTCGGTAGCTCTCGCCATCGAATGTCTGCTTTATCTGTTGAGGATTATAAAACCTAGCTTTTACTTCTTCTTCTCTGTCCGCAAGTATACCGTAGCCTTGGCATCTGTACTTGGCTGACATCAGCAGTGCTTTGCTGGGTTTTTCAAATTCAGTTACTGCCTCAGGTTATCATCAATCGCATTCGTATCATCCTTGGGGACCGGGTCAAAGGCCGGCGCCTCGTCGCAGGCGCCGCAATCTATGTGACCTTGATCAATATCAGCGTGTTCATCATCTGGATACCTGCGCGGCTGCAAATAAGCTCAAAGTACGCCTGCAATCCGGTTTTCACGAGTACGCCCACTAATGGACGCAGTTGGGTTCGAATTAACGCTATTTGGGATCGCACCGAGAAAGTTTTATTTCTTCTCCTCGATGGATACCTCAATTGGTACTTCATCCGCGTCGTCAATGCGGATCTGGTTAAGAACGGCTTGAGCAAATACAATCGCCTGGTCCGTTTCAACAAGCGCATCATTGTCGTCTCTCTCTTGTTGGACGTCTTGATTATTGGCGCGATGAGCATCCCCAATGGATTTGTGTGAGTTTGGCTTACTCAAGTGCACCCTCGCTCAACGCGACTAACTTATACAGCTACGCTATGTTCCATCCTCTTGCATACCTGGTCAAGCTCAACATAGAAATGTCCATGGCTCACCTCATCAAGACCATAGCCCTAGGCAGCCCGAACCCTGGTAATGACCCTTCACGACTCTTGACTTTCTCGTCTTCGCCCGGTGAAGACATGTTTAATGCCGATCTGTTTGCGGAAGTACCACAGCAACGACGCTCGCTCATTCGCGGTTTGTTCGGCAGCGATCATATCTCGTTCTCCCAAGAAGATGTTCGCATGCGAAAACCGGGAGATTCTTCTACAGGTAGCACGTCCGTGCCTGACTACGAACTGCCGTCTTGGAAACCTAGGGCGGAGAAGGAGCCTGATATGATCGGCAGCGATAATCGCAGCTCTGAAGCAAAGCACAACACGAGAAACCACCAAGAGAACTGTCGTCAGGAGAGCAAGGTGCCGAGCAGGACCAGAAGTCTGGATGGAGGACCAAACATCCCCATGCCGGCGGCAGTACATCTTCCTACTCGAGCAAACATGTCGGAAGCTGGTTGAACCATTCTTGCGAATCGCTACATTCATCACCTAGCAACTACTTAGACCAGGGGCACAATCCTCATGACGCTAGTGCTACGTCTTGTTGCCGACTACGAATCGCACCGAGCCCGCTCAACGCGGTCCGCGACTATTGCCCTACCGGAGGGAAGGGTGATGAGATCAGTGACGCTACTGCTTTTGAAGCAAATGGCATCGCCTCAGCAAATCGCCGTTACGTACGCCCCTTGGTCGTCATGTGAGAGGTGCGAGGCTGCATGCAGGCTTCTCATGTCACACAGCGTCTTTGTGTCGCTTGAGCGCACGATGGTCATCTCCAAGGGCATAAGAAGGTGGCGCATACACTTATCAGTCCTCCACACGACTTTGCAGATGCTGAAGTAATGCGCACAAATACCGGAGTTCAGACCTGTCGCTCATTGAACGACAAACTGTTCGGATCAGGGTAATTGCTATAATATTGGGGGCTCTTTCTACGATATTACCACACAACACGTGTCACGGGCGGCTGCTTGCCCGTGTGGCCTTGGGAAGATTCCACACAAACTATTGGGATGGAGTGCAACAACGCATACGTACCGCAATACCCCTGATCTAAACTATTCTTTCGTTTGGCCGCCAACCAAGCATAAATCGATTGGTCAGACTCGCTCGTACAAGCGCTATGGGTACTTACGGCTGTGAAACAAGCATGCTGCGAGAGGAAACATGCGCGTGGTATACCTAGCCGATAACCGAAGACTACTGACTGAAAGAGATTGTCTTCCCGCTTGGTACTCCGTGTTATGATGTTGCCTGGTAAGAAATGGGTAGCACGCAGGTATCACGAGAGGACGAATCAAATGATTGTTTGATATCCCAATATAAGAACCGGCATCACCCCTCCGTGCCGGCTGCTGATACTTCCTCATACACCCCCAAAGCCACCTGAACGTGTGACTTATCAATCGAGCAACTCCACCAACGTTCCGTACATCGAACTCACTGAGTCTCAACATGAAGTACCATCTGTCTTTCGTCGCCTTCATCGCCATCGGCTTTGCCGCTGCACAAGGCATTGAGAAGAAAAGGTCGGAGTCAGATCTATGTATGTACACCCCTCCCATCCAATCATATCAATCCCCAAACTGACAACCTCAGATTCGGTTCCCGCCCCTGACTCCGTGCACGCAGAGTCAGACTACCCTGCGATCCCACCGCCTGTAGATCCTACCGACATCAGCTCCGCCGACTCGTGCTCTACCGCCCTCACCACTATCACGACTACGCGTACCATCTCAGTCATCACGCAAATCCCTTCCAGCCTCGCTAGTGTCACCGGTACCGTCGACCTGAGCTCCTCCGCGCTTTCTCAGTCAGCACCTTTGGCGAGTGAGACTGGCATCATAGAACTCACTACTTGGCTTGCGCCCCAACCATCGAGCGGTACGGCCACGGATTTCGTTCCCGCCCCGAGCAGCACCGCTCCTGAGGGTGAGGAGAGCAGTGCTGCGCCTCCGTATGCACCTGTGCCTACTGCTAGTGATACGATGACGGACACTGTGAGCGTTGAAATCCCTTCGTCCACGTCGAGTGCATCGGGTCTGCCGGGGTTTACAGATGCTGCTGGGGCGGTTGGGGTGCCGGTTGTCGCTGCTGGGGTTCTTGCGTGGGCTGCTTTGGTGCTATAAGAGTGAGGTAGATGTAGTCACTTGGTAGGGATAGGCGAGGGTAGATAGTGATGATACGTAGATATAGTATTCATTATCAGCTAATTGAAGGAGCGTGGTTGCGATATTGAACTAGACCCCCGTAATCTGATCAATGTTTTCGACACTTCACGTTGGCTCCGAGCCATAGTGCAGGCTGTTAAAGTGAAAGACAGCCAAGTGGCTGATGTTCAGTGCACCCTATATACGATGTGATATTGGCCTACACCTTTCGTCGTCCACCAAACGAATCGGCGCACGGCTCTATAGCACCACTTTATCCTTGCCAGTTGGGGTCCTCGGCCTGAAGAGCACGAGCGATAGCCTCGTCGTCAGCCTCCTCAGGGTTGATGCCAATGCGTGCCTCCTCGCCAGTAAGAGCAATGGAGCCCTGCTGTCTGCCAGTCATGCAGCAAGAGTAGAACAAGCTAGCCCACAGGAAGACCCTAAGTACGCACTCTGATCAGTACAGACACTTGTCGTATCGGAAAATGACGACCTACCAGTTGAAGAAGTTTAACCAAAGCAACAGTCCCTGCCACGTGTTGATCTTGACTCCGCTAATCCACAGTCCCCGCTCTCCAGCAAAGTGCGCGTCTCCCTTTGCTGGTGTGCTAGCAATATGTCCAACGAAGCCTATGATTGACATGCCAATCGCAGCCGCCATCTTAAAACACTGGTACTTGATATATCTCTGCTTGGAGAGGGTACCCGCGACGGCACGCCTCTGTTCTCGGCGGACGAGGTAGACGGTGGTTATGGACGTCAAGAGCGGCGTGTAGAGGAGACTCAACGTGAAGAGCTTGCGCTCCGATGGGATTACGAGGGTGAAGAAGGCGGCGACCACGGCTAGGACTGCGATGCCCATTTGGCAGTTTTGGATGATGCGCAAGCGGGGAGAAGCATCGCGAGGGAGGGCGGAGAAGGGCCCGAAGCTGGTGGGTAGGTTCATGGATGGCATCTTGATGGAAGATACGCCGTTACTTTCGTGGTGGTAAATGATGTGAGGACGCAGATGTAAGCACACGATGCGGGCCTCGCAGCCTTCTTTATCGTGGGGCTGGCAGCTTCACCGGTTGCGCCTCAGGAACAACGGGATGCATACCCCTGCCAGCCACAGACCTCAGAATCCCAAAATTGGCATCTTCCTATACTCAAATCCGCGCGCCCCTGGTGGGGAGGTGGTGCGCGATTGGGCCGGGTGCCTGGAACTGGGGCGCGCGATACCGCAAGCGTGTCGCGTAGTTTAGGCGGCCAGCCTGGCGTAGGCGGACGTCGTGTCAAGCTGTCAGCACGCGATCTGGTTTTTGGCGAGCGAGGCTAGGAGCGCGTAGGTGTTGAGGTATTGAATATGTAGCCCGGCGGTCGTCAAGCTGGTGGTGAGAGATGCAAGCCATTCGCTTCTTGGTGACTGGATAGGTCCTGGGTCGTCAGCACTGCGCTCAGACTCGAACAATGCAATGAAGGTATCAGCCGACTGTGTGCCATCGCCATCACTCGAGGCGTTTAAGTGAACATTGTCGTAAGACTTGCTCGTAGTTCCTACTCTTGTGATATCTGCATTTACTTCTGCAATCTGAGTATGCGTTGTTTCCGCTAAGGCGCCATGCTCTTTGCGCCTCAGGCAATCACCAATACGAGATACTGGATCATCGGTAGCGTTAGAGGTCTCAAACACCAGCATCAAAAGCCACCCGTGGTTGCTGCTCGCATGATCAGGTTTCGAGATCGATGAGGGATTCGACCAGATCCTCTCGCACGCGAAGCGGCTCATCTGCGCCAGACATGGCATGAACTGAACTGTCCTCTTCGTCGGGTGATTGAGCGCATACAGATACTCGGCAGATGCGAGATCTTGGACGCGTGAAGTCTCGTACAAGGCTAGATAGTCATCCAGACCATCGCTGGGGTTGTGTGCGCGGTAACGGCGCGCGCGTTGGAAGCCCGGGAGGCATACACGCTCGGGCAGGTGCTCGTTGGTCCACCAGTCGTTCAGAGTATCCGAGTTCACTGTAGTAGGGTCGATGGTTCCCCATAGAATTAGGATCCATTAGTTGTTTGCGACGAGACTGAGGGAGATGCCATCTCCTGCTAAGGCGAGTTGAGCGGTGCGGGGTTCACGACGCTGGCCAACCTTGGGTTGCTGATAATACAGCTAGCCGCAATTTCAATTGATACGACTTGTGCGTATGTCGGAATATGGCCCAAAAGACCTAAAGGGAGTACTTTGCCCAGGCTGGTGTTATTGCACGCGAGCAGTGCTGCTCTTATCGGACCTTACTGTGATTGCCGAGTGGGGCAGCTGCCGGTTGTTCCTGCAGTTCTCCGCACAACGATCATCACACGTCTCTCCCTTCCACCAACCTGCCCTTGTCCAACATGTCTAAGGGGGTGACAAAACGCTCTTCACCATGCGACAAAGCCTGAAAAAGTCGATGATCGGCAACACGCACGTCCGTCCGACGGTCGCGGCCTGAAACTGCCATCACCCAAGTCTCGGCCGGAGAGAATAACGTCTCAGTTTCTGCCGGTGCCATGAAATTCTCGAAGGCTACGCGCTTCGCCACGGCGCGGCGCACCGCCAGATGACCTGCTCCTCGAATCGTGCAGCAGCTTTTACGGCCGAGGAGAATTAAAATTTCGCTCACTTGCATCCGTAAATCGATAATGCTCGCGCCAAAGAGATTCGCTACATCCTAAGCGTACATCGGATCGGTACAAGACTCTCCCTTTGGGAACAAACCGGAAAGAAACAGTCCCTTGCACTGGATCCACGATCTTCGCGCGTGGGAACCGGTGAACAACATTCGGGAACCACGTCAAGCTCTTGTCAAATTCATCTATCGGCACTATGAGCATGACAACGCACCCTATGCCTGCTAGGTTTGCAAAATTAATTGGCTGGATAGCGCCGCTGGATGGCATTGTCTAATTTCCCACAAGATAACCCACACGGCTAACGCAGATCGACACTAGCATTCAGCCTGTCTGCGGCAACTAGCCGAACAAGCCTTGTTACCAAGGTCAGGGGAAAATATTAAGTAGCAATGCGCCTCCTCGTACGGGCGTCTGCACGCCGTCAAGCCTCAGCTCCTCGTATCGTCAGTCGTTTTCGCGACCACACACTCGTTTATACCCAATCCAGTCATTCTTTGTACTTGCGCAACTCCGACCGTTATACCCTAATCTAATCCTTGTTCTTTTACGAGACCCACCAAACCCACCATGCGTCAATCTATTGCTATCCTCTCCATCCTGGCAAGCGCGGCTTGTGCTGAAGACGTCGTCAGCTTCTTTTTCCCCGGTGGTACGTCACTCTAGTCCGAGGAACACCGCAGATCAAAGTCTAACAAGCGCAGGCTACGACGGCATCGACCCTGTCGCAACCATCAACACCGCCAACCCCTCCACTACCGAGTTCCACATCGCCTGCCCCACGGGCGCCGACGATAGCGAGTGCGGCTGGGGCCCAGGCCTCGATGTCACCATCCTCTCGCAAACGCGCTTCCAAGCCCAAATGTCTACCGACACGATTTCCATGAGCCTGGGATGCGACTACAATGAGAAGGCAGTCGAGATGACTTGCACGGTGAACCAGCTTGGAGGCAATGACGATACTGGCGGCAAACCCATCACTGCGACACTCTCCAGTGATGACGTGCAGTTCCTTTCTGCGACCGTCGTTGCTGGAAACAGCCTTTTGACTCCTGCTGCAAGTGCCGCGACCAGCATGACTGCCTCAGCGCAAGCTGGCAGCACTGTTGCTACTACTATGAGGAGTGCTAGCACGGGCGCGATGACACCCAGTGGATCTATCATGCCGACTAGCACCATGGCTTCTTCGGCTTCAGCGTCTGCCAGTGGATCTGAATCGGCATCTGCGTCTCTGCCCGAGAGCACCGGTGCCGCTCACAAGTACGGCATTGAGGGCTCTGCGTTGCTGGCTCTTGCTGGAGCTGCTGCGCTGAACTTCTGGTAATGCGCCACGGGGTCGTTGGTAGATGATAAATAAATGTTAACGAAGAGCGTCATTGGCAACAAAGATGCGATTTATCAATTTGTCAGAACCCAACCGCAACCGATGTGTTTTCATTTGTGGCTTACTAACTACGCTATTGCAGGCTCCTCGTTACCTCTAATCATCGATTTGAAAGTGTTTGTTTGTCGATAGACGACCAGTACTCACAGGAGGACAGCCCGGCTCAGAGCGCCACACAGTCCACACATCCTGCTGAGTTATTGCATCCCGAGTCCGAACGTTCTCCAGCACGACAGTAGCAGGCACAGGCCCTTCGATGAACCGATGCAACTCAACAACACGCAACCTATCGAGGCGGTAACCCAAAGCACAACCGCAGATTTTCTCCGTGAACTTGAAAGCCATCGCATCTGCTGGCTGGAAGACAATACGTTCCATCGTGTGCGGCGCAATGCCTCTCGTAAGGAAGTACGCTGAAGAGGTCAAACGAAGCGTGTCTAGATTTTTGAGCTTTCTACACAAGTACCTGAGCTTTTTCCCATTCTTGCGCTGTAATCTCCCGGTTGGGTTGACGCTGTCGTTGCAATCCCAGAGGATAGTCAGGTCCGTGATAGGCGCGATGTCACCCTTGAGGAAGTTTACGAACGGGTGTCGCCCGTTGTAGTCCAGGGTCAGATGTGTGAGACTGCTCATGTTGATACACAACCAGTCGAGGTTAGCAGAGAGAGTCAAACTCTTTACGTTCGTCATGCTCAGACCTTGACTTAGCCGACAAATGCCAGTTTCTTCCTCTCGCCTGAGAAACCAGCCAAGATTGCCATACACGTTGTTGGAACTAGGAGCTGCTTTGGCGTAGATCTCAATGTCTTGCAGTTGGGGCAAAGACGCTAATATCAAACTTGCGACCATGAGTTCGCTCGGGCAAGAGAGACTTTGGATCCATCGCGCGTGACCTGCGCCGGATCGCTGGGAGCCATCGGGGAGAGTGTACATGATGTCTGCC